TAAGCATGTCCCTCTCACACGGTATTTAAAGATATGTGGGACGTGTTCCTAACGTACTGGTGCTAAGGAAGGAATGCCAAAACATTCCTACCAGATGTCAAAACATTTCTCCTACAGCTCCTCGGATATCTCAATCAAACCATCCAACAAAGAGCTGAGGCATACAGACTCCGGTCGATCAGTGGTCTGTGTTGAGTTACCAACGATATATGTTTATATACCAGTAACTAAATTATAATAATCCTTCCATTTAATATAGTGCTTTATTTCATTGAAACATCTCAAAGCCCCTCACAGTTTTATTGTGATTTTACTCAATTTTACTCTAAACTTTAGTAACTATTTGCAGGTGAAAGGGGCAGCCAATTTGCAGACAAGCAAGGTCCCACAAACAGCCGTGAAGTGAATGACAATTTTATCTGGAGGAGGATTGTTGACCAGGACAGCAGGAGAAGCTCCCTTTTATTTTAAAATATTGCCGTGGGATAGGGAACAAGCATTCAGGACCTCGGTTCAATGTTTCATTCGAAGGACTCCACAGAGAAGGGGAGAGAGGAGGAAATTAGCTTTCCACACTCCTGATCACTATCGAGCTCCATCTGCTGGAGGTTTGGTTGAAATATCCAAACAGTCCAATAGCTTCCTGATACGTACTGCCTTAACTCACATGTGAAGAATGGGCTCAAATAATAAAAATAATAAAAATAATCCTTGCATTTGATATAGCGCTTTATCACGTCTTCGAGACGTCTCAAAACGCTTCACAGATTATGCTGTAAAGTGAATAGACTGTATATTTTGTGGATGAAACGCAGCACACAGCAGTGTCCCACAAACAGTCATGGATTGAGTGACCAAATTATTATTATTTATTTATTTTTTGGAAGGGATTATTACCCCCTGAAAAGTGATCCGCCAAACAACTAACAACCGGGTTCTTACTTACTGCTCGGTGAACAGAGGCGTGTGGAGAAAGGAAACTTGCCCAACGTTTCGCCCTGCCTGGTAATTGACCCGTGTAACACCTGTTTGCGAGGCGAATGCTCTAACCACTGAGCTACATACCCATAACAAATGATTAAGGTTTAAAAAAAAATCAAAGGAGGGAAAAAATTGGTTTAAAATAAAGCACCTGGTTCCTCCTCAGTGAGAACTGTATATGATTAAGACTGGGCAATGTTTCAGTGTCTCAGCCATGTTGTCTGTGTATGTGTGTGTATGCGCTTGCACAGGGATTCCTCTATTTAGCGGCAAACAGCATCTGCAGTAACAAATATCTTTATCTGATGGCACGATAACCATTTTAAAATAGCACAGCAATATGAATAATTGTTACACAAGATCAATCATTCTGGCATTCTGCTTAAATTGGTCTTGCCTGAAATAAAAAGCTGTGTTATCTTTCTCTGTGCCTCAGACCCCATTGCTCCAGCAGATTTAATGAAAGCATCCTGGAGTTGAGATGGGTGGGGGGGCAGAGGAAGGAGTGAAACAGACTTGCAGGTGTAATGCATTTACAAAGAGTTTAATTTGATATATCTCTACCACATGCTCCTCTAAGTCATTGATTTTACATATCAAAGGCACAGCAATGTCAAATCAAGACATTGCTGCTTTCATTTCTCTTCCATTTTCCCCTTCCCGAGGCCTCTCACTTGCAATCCCTCTCCTTAGAGCTGTATATTTAAGACTAAACACTGTTAAAAAAATACTGTGCGCATTTCAAAGACAGAATTCAGCCAATTAAGGAAATTGAATAAGGGGAACCTTTTCATTGCAGTGTACAGTATTAATCCTGGAAGCACAGTGCTGTAAAAATAGGACTCTGACATACCATTGATATTAGTGATATTAAGAGACAAAAACAAATAGCAGTATGCAGTTTATACCAAAAATGATAGGAACAGAGGGTTTTGATTGGTTGGAAATGCTTGTGAAACCCATAGGAAAGGAAAATTATCAGGATTTGATTTGATCTCAGTAGCTTTCACTGCTCTACATCCAGCTGCTGCTGGACAATCAGAATTGCGCAGTGCCATGAAAAATAGATGAAGAAATTTCCCTGAAAATACAATATCCACAATGTAATGCGAGTATGAATGAAATGCATTTATCTGGATTCAGTAACCCACCAGAATGTATCAAGCTCACTTCACCTCATAAAAATTGATCCCTGACATTGCAAAAAAGCCACAATAATATCTCCGCATTCATCATTACCTTAATATAATCAAAACCCAACTCGTTTATAATGATCTACAGTCTTCACTTGCACACAAGGGTTCTTTTTGTGCAAGTTGAGAAAAGCAGTGAATTTGTCCTTCAGATGAGACATTAAACCGAAGTCTCTTCTGACTGTTTAGGTGGACTTTAAAGATTCCACTATATGAAAAGAGAAGGCAGTGTCTCCTGGTGTCCTGGCCAACAATCCCCCAAAATAAAAAAAAATTGTTCACTCACTCCAAGGCTATTTGTGGGACATTGCTGTGCGCAATTGTGTTGCCCCGTTTGCCTATAAGCACAGTCACTCCATTTTACAGTAATTCCTGTGAAGCGTTTTGAGACATCCTTCTGATGTGATAAGGTGCTCTACCAAGTGCAGGGATGATTATTTGTTGCTGGAGAGAATAGAAGCAATGGCTCTGACCAGTGTAAACTGTGAGCAGATTTATAAACTACTGTACGTACATCTCATTTAATATTCAGCATGAATAAAATTCACCCATGTCCTTCAAGCATATGTAAATCAGTGACTAACCTCAACTCTGCCTGCTTTTACATGTTCCTGGAGGCAATTCTCACCCAATTCCTGGCACAAACTCAACAGCAAAGGTTTGCAAACGGGGAAAATGACACTCTACATTTTGTGAATGTGCAGACTTTGCAGCCAAACTCTCTGGAAGCTGTGTAGTCCTTGACTTTCCTTAAATTCAGTTGAGAGCACTAGGACTTTGTACTCTGTGATTAGAAAAGCGATTAATAAAATTGTGGCAGTTTCCTCATTCAACACTGAAACTTCATGTAGATTTGCTGTGAATAAACAGGTAATCTTTAAATGCAAAAAAGCTACTCAACCAGCCAGTGTCCTTTAAAAACCTTGCCCCTGGGGAACCAATTACATATTCATTAGAGCCAATACTTCCTGGTCCGTAAGAGTTAATGTTTTAAAGAGTTTTATAGGCCGTTCAGAAACAAAGCAAAAAATCAACCAGCTGCAAGTATTTAATTTCCAGAAACCATACACTCTACCCCAATAGTTACTTTGCACATCATTAACCGGAGAGGTTTTCACAACTTCACATCAATAGATAATCATTTTTTGTTAAAAATGGGCAGCTAAAGCTTACGGAGATCCAACTCATTGCAGTCCCAAAAGTATCCAGGTTATTATATTAAAATCTAATGGTCGTCAGTTTTGTATCAACTCATTCTTTCTCTGATTCATTGCATAGTGTACAATGGAAAATATGTGCTGATTTTTTTCTAGATTAAGAGTGAAAACAGAGGAGCTCATGGACAGAATCCAAATACTGCATTGCAATGTTTTTTTGGCTTGGATTGCAATGTACTGTGCAGCAATTCTAAGGAAATGAATAATATCTTCTTGAAGCACTAATCTGTTTGCAGGATTTTAAAATACCTTTATGGAGGCCAAAAAAATGTAATGCAACATTGGAGGTACAAAATCATACAAATGGTAAGTAGTTTTCATTGCTTCTGAAGTCCTTCCAAAGTGACGCAAATTTCGGTTGGTACATTAAACCAATATAATCATTAACCAAATGGAAATTTCGCGCATTAAGAAAAACCTGCTAAGATTTTAACATCCATGCCAACCTGCCACGGATGAGTTGTGTTGGTTGTCTGGCAGAATTGTAACGCATGTGCAAAATAAAATGTTCCACTTTGCCGAACCTTGCTTATGTCCTAAAAATCTTATTGATGTTAGTGATTCTGTATCCGATATTCCCTTCAGTAAGCCAAGTGTCCAGTAACAACACGAAAGAGGAACCTAAACGTTTTAATGCTGAGAAATAGAAGAAAAATGACTGAGGCTTCAAAGCTGGTGAAGTGTCTGCCATCCAACCAGTTAAGAGCTGATGTCATAGACTGCCCAATATCCCATCCTCAGCATAATCAGTTCAGACACTAGCTCGTGTTCACAAATGTATTTGCAGATATATTAAAATGAGCTTTTCTTACACGTTTTCCACAATATAGTTCCAAGGATTGAAGACTTAAAATCTTCGTTTTCCTGGTCCCAGATTTTCTCAACCACAGCAGTCTTTTCCTCTCCAAAGATTAGATTCATAAATCAAACAGATCAGCGTTGAAGTGAACATATGCTTGTTTTTCACTTCAAATAAAATGGAAATATATCTGCGTTCCCTCCCTAATTAAAAAAAATTCAGTATGTCAGATAATCAACTTGTGACGCAGACATCTTAGTAAGTCTTTGGTCCCATTACTCGTAAACCGTTTACTTGCATCCATCAGGACTGCGTCGTGGATGCATTTCTCTCAGTAATATTCTCACGATTCTAGTACAAATAATGGATATAGCATAGCGAGCAAAGGGCATAAGCATCTCCATGAAGGAAGTAAACATATGATTCACAAGTGACTAATGAATTATGTCTGCTTCCCTTGTGGAGATTCATATCTCATTCCACTGAACAATATATTTATCCCAGACACTTCCAATATATATATATGTACATATATTTTTAAGATACACTTTATTGCCAGATCTTCAGACCACTTGCAGTTCTAAGCCACAACTATCCTTCACTATGGCACAATAGAACTGGATGACTATAGTAGTTTGATTCATAAAATTACAGACTTTACTAATCCATTTCAATTACATATACAGTGTAAAAAATCCTGGAGTTAATCAGTTTATGCAAAACAAATTTCTAAGTATATTTTTTTTAAAAAAAGCTTATGTACAGAATGCATTATTTACATAAAAAATAGAAAGAACCAAAGCAGCTCTATGAAAGTGTAACAAAATTTTTATTGTAGTAATTTATGATCAATATTTGCAGTGTTTAGACTAATTACATAACCAGACCAGAATCGATAATACCTGTATGCACTCAGTGTCATAAATAAAGTAAAATATAGAAAGAAACGTGCATCTGGATCAGGAATTAATCATTTCTAGGTCCTTTCGTGAGAGGCACTTCTGCACTCATCTCTTGAATACACCAGTGAAACTGGATTTGTTCCCATTCCTGGCTTACCCTGCTCATCTGCTGAATGTGACTGGGCAAACTTGTGCTTCAGACACTAAAACGCTCTCAATCCATTGACTAACCTCAGTCAAGTCTTCTTTGTTCACATCACGTCCTGCACAGGGAGACTATCCACGATTGACATTTAAAGAAATTAAATCAGAAACCCACATCTCCTCTTCCACTTTGGTGTACAAATTCAGCCCATTGTTTGTCCAGTCATTTGCTCAGAGAGTCTTGCTGTTACAAATAACAGTCATCCAGGACAGTTAGGCAGGTTAAAAAGAGTCTGATCGCAGCATTCAAGCTTCCACGATTTGCTGAAAAAGGTCACAGTATGAGGTCCAGAGCGGTAAAACAACCTGCAAAAGGTTGAGTCCTGAGTTGTGGTTGATTCTCATTTTAGTGTGCAATTGATCAAAGAATGAGTTTTTGATTGATTATTTTTCTGTTTATTTCTGCCAATGCCACTGAAAATACAAAGGCCTTTTCATCTGAAAGACTGGCATACACATCAACTTCCTTCTCTTGTTTTTCTACAAAACAAAAAAGGAAATGTAATTAAATACTGGTCGAGAAGCCACACAAAGTTTCTGTAGTTTGATTATGCCCAAAGATCTTACCCATCAGCTATCTTGTCTTTGCTCCCCCACTCAAAATAATTTCCAGACTGTAGCTTTGTTATCTGTGCCCCCCCTCCCCCAAAAAATTACAGGTTCATAACCACAAAATTCATAACTGGACTTTCATAGCTGAGATACATTTCTCTTAACTACATATGGAGAGGAGGAGAAAGAGGAAGAAAGACCATGTGAAAACCACATAGATCCAATCCATATGAAACTTCCTAAATAGCTGCTCCCTTCCCCCCACCATCTGAAATCGCTAAAAAAAATTGATGGCGGGTGCTGTAGTGGGGGGAGAGAGGGGAGGGGCAAGAAGAGCATCTGGCTAGGATCATATATGCTCTTGGTATGGTTTGGGGGAAAATACTATAAATTCTGGAGGATTAGAGCAGAAACACATTACGTTACTACAGAATGTACACAGGCCTCGGCTACACCATCCAATCAGTTATTCTTCATGTGTGATCCTGCACAGATCCCCAGCTGATTTTTTTAAAATCTTTCATTGCCCAGGGAGTTAAAATGTACCATCCCTAATAATAACACAGATGAGATCAACTAACACAGCACAAACATTGAATCTGAGACCTGCTTACTATGTTGATGCATTTATCCAATAAATCACTGAAGGAATTGGGTGGATCAATTAATGAAAGGAAAATGTAAGGACTTTGAATTCCAAAGCAGCATGCCTCGATGGTAAAATCATAATGGCTTTGTAAAGTTTTAAAACAAATACACTTGGTTAGAAAGAACTGCGTGATTAAACAAGCACCACTTGAAAATAACTTCATGTTCCGTGTATTTTGCAACAACACAATCCCCAGTTGAACAGTGCCAGATTCAAGTCGTAGCAAATTAATTAACAGCATCAAAGGTGCAGCATCACGCGAACACAGCACCCAGATTCCATGGTTAACTATGTGAATACTTATGAAATAGAAGGTTGGAAACAAATTTGCCAAAATGGTTTCATTCTAAATATCGTTCAGATGGTAGGAAGAACAAATTATATCATCCTGAGGCACTGCAAAGTGGAGTAAGAGTCTAAAATGTTCTAATGTACTGGATTTATAAGATGTATTTTTCACCCTAAAAATGATCTCCTCCTGAAGTCAAAGCAGATCCATACTGGGCAAGATTCCACAGGCACCAGAGGACCTCACCAAGTACACAGTATTTACATGAGCCAAGATAATAAGTGCCCGTTAGGCTATTATTTGCTGAAGGAAATTGCAGCAAGTCCATGTCTGTTGTGGTGCAAGCTAATCAACTAGAGCTACTCTAAAACCATTTCCTAATGTTTTTCTCATCCCAATGTCGATACACGTACAAACATAAACATGTATTTCAGAGTGAGTGTCTACCAGATCATAATCACAGCTGTCAACCCTGACTGACTTTTGTCCTTCTTAACCCAGAAGGACACCAAGATCCCTCACACCGTTGTGAACAACACCCTCGCTCAACTCAGTTCAGTTCACTGCACACAGACCAGGGATTAAAATCCATTTCATCTTGGTCTTGTAGCACATATTAATATTGGATATTACCAATGCACCATTATCGAACTCACAAAGGAGGAGTAAAATGTACAATTTAACACAAAATTAAAAATCTAAAACAGAGCCCTGGAGCCTTCTTAAATCAGTTCAGAGAACAATAACAGGATGATGCACAGCCAAGCATGCATGGGCCTGGACTTGGTCTCTTCAAACTCTTCTACTTATGTAAATAGAGTGCTGCAGTGACAAGTCCTGTACTTAGCTTATTAAATGCACTTACAGCTGCTTTGACTAGTTGTCGGCGCATTCTACAGTTGTAAAGTTCACTACTTTTTCAGTTTGGGTTCTCTGATGGCTCAGTGGGAAAGTGCGCTGCTTGACGTGGTCAAGAAGGTGCCAGGTTCAGGTCCTGTTCTGTGACTGACCTTGGCCATCATCAGTGGGGTATTACTGTTTGCCTGTACGTTTCTCCCAGTTCTTCCTAAGCCACAGTATAACCGACTCCAGTCAAGAGAGCTGATCAGGCAGTTTGCCCCCGAGTCTCTCCCGATACAACTTTAATTGTGTTGTTGTTGTAAAGGAAGAACGCCTGCATATGCTATCCTTACTTCACATCCAATATCCCAGTGCCTCGCCACATCAGCTCATACGAGATTAATAGCTCAGCAGGTTCCCATGTAACATGGGAGGTAGAAAAAAAATCAAACATTAGGGTTAAATTCCATGTAACTGAGTGCTGAAGCGCCAACATTGCGATTATCTTACTGCGTTTTTTTTAAAAAAACACAACTCAACAATCGTTTCTTTTTGGAGCAGAAATGCAGCTGAAGTTTTAAAGGATGACCTCTTTCTCTTGCTCTATAAATAATATGCAAGGCTCCAACATATATTATCACTCTTTCTGTGATCACATAAGCAAGTATCACCTTTGTCATCATCGTGCTTTTTACTAGGAGTGGTCTTGGGCCGTCCTCGTCGCCGTCGATATTGCTCTGAATGACTTTCAGATCTGGACCTTTTTCTGTTTTCCATGTCTTTGGTTACAGGAGAGTTTACTTTCTCTCGACGTGCCCTTTCTGTTCTCCTTCTCTTAGCTTCTGACTTGTTCTCTATCACACAAAAAAACTGTATTATATTGTTAAATCCAAATGCCCCCATACATGCCAAATGTTTGCATTTCATTTAAAATTGCACACAATAGGTATGATCTCCAAAGACCTTTTTCAGATCCAAATGTATCAAGTTAGAAGCAATCTGCCCATATCATGAAAGGTACAGCTACTGTTATTACAATAGACTACACTGTGCCTGGTTTAATCCACAACTGAATCTAAATTTTAGATTCAGATTCAAAGTAACTGATCAGAATTTGATTTGGCTTGGTCCTGATCAATTAAGAATGACTTAAGGGAAGTATGGAAGCATCGAGTGAATATCTACTATCTCTGAATCTATCACATGTCTGAACCAAAGAACAATCTTGAATTTAACATGGCCTTTATGAATTCAAATCTATGAGTTATACAACATTTCTACAGCAATGAATAGGCAAATAATATCATAACTTCCTGTAACAATTTACATTAAGTGGTTAACCCTATTATACAATACAATATGATTTACATGAATACAACTTTCGTATCGAGAGGATGTCTCAAAATGCCTCACACAGCTGTCTGGGTTGCTATGCCAGAGTAGTTATTTTAAAAAATAAAAATCATTACACAATCCCAAATTCCTGCATTAATGTTTACAGGAATGTATAACTGCTTTCCTCACAATTCAGCCAAATATAAGCTATATAAATAATGGTGAAAGATCATCTATCTTTCACATTCAAATGAGCTGGTAAACAAGGCATGCATGAACTCTAAGGGAGCACGACTGGAAAAGTTATATCATCTTCTTACATACTGTACACTCTTGGCTCTTACACATGCAATGCTTGCCAGAACAGGGACATATAATATCATAGTCTGTTGTTTGCAACTATCCATTGCCTCCAGATTTTAGCACAATCCCTTACAAGGCTATGGTACATACATTACATACGGAACAGCAAACTTCCTGAGACTGACTGGTTTGCACCACCCATGGAAAGAGATCATTCATCGAGGTCACATCATTCCAACTCTGAGCCTGTACAGAAACTCGGCATTTTATATGATCCTCAACTCCCCTTTAAATCGTTCACTTGGCCTCTGACCAACTCCACTTTCTTCAATATCTGTAACACTGTCCACCTCTGCCACTAATTCACCCTCAACACAACTGAAACCCTCTTCCACACCTTTGTCACCTGCACTTGATTTCTCCATTGCTCTGTGCGCTGACCTCCCCAGCTCTATTCTGCACAAGTCCCAGATGCCTGCTCCTACCTCCACAGCCTTGCCTCACCATACTTCTGTGATCTCCTGTGACTCTTATTCCTCTGGCCAACTCCACACAAATCTCCTCCCTAATCTCTGCAAGTACCCTGGGGTATAGTTTACCCATCCCAGTGGAACAGCTGATTTTCTGCACTGAATACACACTGTGCAACTAGAATACTAAGTGTACCTTTTCACATTCTTACAGCAAGTACATCATGTATCGTGAATAAAATTGTCAGATTTATTTATTGTGACATACAACACCNAAAAATGTTTTAGATAACAGTAATAATCCTTGCTTTTGAAACAGTGGACACATCAATGAGATAGATGTCTCAGATTGTGAAGCGAACTGAACTGTGTATTTTGTGGGCGAATGGGAATGCAGTACAGTAAACATAAAGGCTATTCAGGGCATCATTGGCAGATTTCAAGTACGTACATTTACAATACTTTAGAGTCAATTATAACTCACACACATATATTCAGCTATTCGATTGGTTACTTCATAGAAAAACATTTACCACATTTTTAACCAACATATACCTTAAATTTAATGTACATATATTAATAACATATATTAATAATAATAATTATTAATATATGTACATTAAATTTATTAAACTATTGTATATTAAAAGTAACCATGTCCAATGGATAATGGAATTTAAAACTGAAGTGGCATCATACTTGAATTAAATACAGGGTGACCAAAAAGTCCATGATACCATTGCGATGTCTAAATACATCTTAAAAGAAATGATGATATTTTTCTTTTTTTCTTTTACACAACGCGGTAGATATCACAATGTTTTTTGGGTCCCCCTGTACAATTAAATAAAAACCCGGATTTGTGATTTGATTCAATGTCAAACCTAAAATCCTGGTTTATCACTCATGTATTTCCCCCCCACCCCAACCCCTCCCCACCACTCCCAGCCCAACCCCACCCCCTCCCCAATAGTTATGCTTCTCTGCACTCAAGTCAGTGATTCGGATCATGTACCTAACGTGGACGGTGGCGATTTCTCTGACTGTTTAGCATTCAGTAGTCTTCTACTTATAAAAATGAATCCGCAAGGACACGACTTGCAGGCCACGGGAATCTGGGGGGAAAAAATGAAAAGAGTTGGGGATTAGATGACGTTTTGCTCCACTCAGTAAACATTCGTGATCGCCGGGGGACGTGAATCGTGTTCGTGTCATATTATGCCCTCGTTTTTTTTTCCACGTATGAACATAGGAACAGCGGTGCAAAACCACTACTGCGTTCAACTTCCAGCGATCTTAAAACCTGAAAAGATTTCGACTGCTCGGACATTTTTTTCTTTAAAAAAACAAAAAAAAAGCAGGACGGTATATATACATATATATATATAAACCATCTTCCACTAAAGCTCAAGCGTTGGCTTAAAAATGCACACGGCAGTTTGCCAGGAATACAGTCCTTTTAGATGACAAAATATTTGTGTGCGAATGTTGTTTTTGGAGGGGGAGGAGGTGGGAGGGGAGGGGAGGGGGGGGTGGGAGAGAAACAAAATTGCTGACAGAAACAACAACTGCATGTCAACCGATACTCGCACGGTTAACCTCTTGCTGATTGATACCCCGCGACCTGCCCGCACATCATCCCAAAGCCCAAAGGAAATCTGGATCTCGGGATTATGCAAATGTGAAGTCAACGTTTCTTCTTTTTTTAAAAACAGAACATATATATATAAATAGAGAGAGAGAGAGAGACAGAGACACACACACACACACAGTATGGATGTATGTCGAAAACCCAGGCGTAAGGAAGGTTTGGGAATGTCTTGCTTTGTGATTTAAGCCTTTGGCAACTCGTCAGCATCGCTCTCTCCTGTACCAGTGTTCGTGTTTCCGAAACCGCCCGCACCCACCCACCCATCACCCACTAACACCCCCCACCCACCCACCCATCACCCACTAACACCCCCACTCACCCACCCATCACCCACTAACACCCCCCACCCACCCATCACCCACTAACACCCCCCACCCACCCACCCATCACCCACTAACACCCCCCACCCACCCACCCATCACCCACTAACACCCCCCACTCACCCACCCATCACCCACTAACACCCCCCACCCACCCACCCATCACCCACTAACACCCCCACCCACCCACCCATCACCCACTAACACCCCCCCCCCCCACCCACTAACACCCCCACCCCCCCCCCACCCACTAACACCCCCCACCCACCCACCCATCACCCACTAACACCCCCCACCCCACCCGCTCACCCATCACCCACTCCCCCCCCCCCGGGCAACAAGCACCACACGGACAGCGCAGATCGCGTTTTAACGTTCAAAAAGAAGCCGAGACATCGGGGGTGTGACGGCTTCATTTCTCCGCCAAAAGTTGCTCAGCGGCCGCATCGATCCCTCCCATCGACCGACCGACCGACCGACCGCCGCGACGACAAATGTGCAAAGTGATGCGAAATGGTCCGAATGTGGCACTGGGGCTCTGCAGCCGCGACCATCTCAGTCACTTTCAGGTGAAAGGCGTCTCTGCTTCTCGGGGCAGCGCGTCCCGCGGTCACCCCCACAACCCGAGAATACCGCCCGGGAGACCCCCCCCCCACCCCCACCCGGGAGACCCCCCCCCCACCCCCACCCCACCCGGGAGACCCCCCCCCCCCGGGAGACCCCCCCCCCCCACCCCACCCGGTGCTGTCTCTCTCTCACATCCCCGAATAGGATCCGAGACCCGTTTCACCCCCAAAGGCGCCGAACACAACGATGTCAGTGTCGCCCCTCCGCCAAACGTCTTAACGGACAACACTGTGAAACTCAAAACGTTTTCTCTCTCTCTCTCTCTCTCTCACACACACACATATATGTACAAATATATATATATAAAATCGTGTCAATAACAAAAAGGTCACACACACACACACACAGCATTAAGTAACATATCGGGGGCCACTCATTCTGAATGAAGGCTTCCGAAACGACAGCCCCCCCCACCCCCCCACCCCCCCCCCACTCCCCCACTCACCCTCTTTTAAAAAAAGAAAATATTGCACTGCGATAAAACCGCACAAAGAAAGTCTCCATTCTTAACGGGGACCGCCGGGGAGGGAGGGAGTGAGGGGAGGGAGTGAGGGGAGGGGGAGAGAGGGGGGGGAGTGGGGAGGGGATAAGTGTGAAAATACGCTAAATATATTTTCATATTGATATGATACACACACTCTGATATATCCCACCTGTTGGTCACATTCCGGACATGCTTTCGTAGCCATTTTTGTAACTTTCTTCGCCTTGTTTGCAGCCATTTTCCAAGCCCTTCCGCTGCTGGCCCCCGCGACTGACTGGCCTGACTGCCGGACACACATGCAGGCGCCCGGACGGACGGACAGACACGCTCCGGGGCCGCGCTGTCCGGATCTCTTGCGCGAAACTCGCAGTGGAACTTCCGACACAACTCCTCAGCGACAACGTACCCATCGGCTGCCCATCGCCCGCGAGCCGAGCCGAGCCCCCGCGCACCAACACCCGCGGGCCGGCCCACCGGACGCGCGCACGCACGCACGCGCGCGCGGGGGGGGGTCCCCCAACCAACGCCGGCACGTAGAGCAGGGGTGAGCGCGCACGTGCCCACGCCACGCACCGCACCGCCACGCACACCCTCCCCCCCCACACACACACACACACAACCCACGTTGCCGGATTGCTTTTGGTCGCTGCTTCCTCTTGACCGGTAATAACGGTTCGTTGCCCGGGAAACGCAGCGCCTCGTCACACGGCCTTCGAGGCGTCTGGAAGCGCTTCGCGGGATGCACTGTGAAGTGATTTAGCGATGTTTCGTGGGCGACGCCTGGTAACCCGATTGTACACCGCAGCGGTGTCCCAGTCGTGGATTATAAGGGACCCAATTTTTAAGGGATTATTACCCCACAGTAAAGCGATCCGCCAATCGACTAACCACCGATTTCCTATTAACTGCTCGGTAAACAGAGGCGTGTGTCGAGTCACGAAACTTGCCCATCATTACGCCCCGTCCGGGAATCCAACCCAAGTCCCGCCGCGCGCGAGGCGAGTGCCCTAACCACTAAGCTACAAAACTGCACACCTATACAGAAATGCATCTATAACAACAACTGATTCAACGGCTTCGGTTTCCTCGCACCAAAAAAAAATTTCAATTAAACCTGCAAATTGTTTCGTTTTTCTCTTCTCTCTCTCTCTCCCCTCTTTTTCTTAAGTTTCCAAAATAGCACTCACCCTAAATCAGCCACTTTACCTCACACATAGGAGGCCACGCATAATATTGGACTACTTTTGGGGCTAGCGTTTGGCTGACTCTTGGGGGGGGCAACAAAGTTATTTTAATTTCTGGCAAAATGCTGTACTCTACACCTCCCTGGAACAGTACATGTATACCCGTAAGCGCTGTTTCTCTCTCTCCCCCCTCCCACCACCACCACACAAATAATACTGTGTATTAGCCTAATGTGGATTATTATTGAATTGGTTTCGTATAAAATTATACCCTGAAAGCACAAGCTGCCAAATTTGACATTGGAAAGGAAGCAGAGGTGTATAGATTCAGTACGTGGCTCTTAAAGGGTGGGAGGAGTCTAAGTAGGCCAGGCTGAGAAAAAGCAAATTAAAGGAGTCTCTTCCTATGTCATGGCCAACAATCACCCAGATAAAATTGGTCATTTCATTTCATGGTTGTTTGTGGGACATTCCTGCGTGCAATTTGACAACCATGTTCACCTAAAAAATACCTAGTCACCATACTTTATAGTAAATCTTATGAAGCACTTTGAAACATCTGTCGTGAAAGGCACTATATCAAATACAAGGATTATTAAGGTCCATGTTTAATCCATGCTTTTTAACATTCAAGTTTTACCTTTTACGTTGGACCATAGATTGAATGCTCGCAGTAAACATTTAACAGTGGGAATCTTTGAACGATATTTGAGAGGTGTACTTCAGGGTCCCAACAGCTCACACAGGAAAGCAGCAAAATAATATTACCATTAATTGCCCTCAGCTGTTGTACTAATTCGGCAAAGGGTTCACTCCTGTTTACTATTGTGTGACACCCACTGGAAAAAGCTGCCTTTAAGAAAGCTACTGAAAGCTTCCCATGGAACCATGCCCCGACAGCAGTGAGTGTCTCAGGAGCGTTGAGGTGGAGAGGGAAGATCTGGGAACACAATCCTGTTTTTTAAGGTGTTAAACAGTCAAATTTGCACCACCATTTAAATCCTCATTAAATGACTCACTAAATTAATTAATAAGCACAGGGTATGGTCTCCGTGCAAACAGTGTTAGAATTATGATTCCAGTGCTTCCTTAATGCTATTAATGTGATCAGAGTTATTGGCTGGCAATGCCTCTCATGGCTAGAAGGGTTGTTGGGGATGGGACAGTGCTACACTTTAGAAGCTTAACTAAACAAACGTCAGATAAAAGATCAAAGCTGACAATATTGGGTGATGATCCTTGGCTGGAACAGATCAGAGTGTTATAATAATGAGACTGAAATGCATTGTTCAGTATTATCCATGCTGTAAGTACAATGAATGTTAACTAATTCCCATTGTATGTCTATAAAAGTCTATAAAATGCAGCATTTCAGACTCAATTCCCTCACAGAGCTACCCTGTGTGAGCATTAACACTTTTATCTCCGTATCATTTTAATCCAGAAGAAGGAGGATGTTTGGGGGAGGGGAGAATACTTTTTGAATAAAATCTCAAATCAATGGATTTTAACCACATGACAAAAAAAATTGCTTTATATGATTAGGGACAGAGGCAGGGAGAAGCAAAAGACAAAATTCAATTGAATGTGCACTATAAGATTTCTAAGTGTCATAATATGGTGACACACCGCTGTCTGACTGTCAGAGCTGGACTGGGATGGGGAAGGGGTGGTGGTGGCTGAAGAGGATGGGGGAGGGAAAGATGACTGAAAGTATGACTCATATATAACTTTCCAGGATGTACTTATTAATGGTGAATTATACAATAGTGTAGTGGGTAGTGTGACATAGCTGCATTGCCCAACCTATTGGCAAGCTCCTATATAATTTGATTCATCAGGTTATTTGTGCTGTTTGGCCAGAATTTATGATTTCTTAGCAAAATTAGTAAATGGAAAATCTAATTTCTGTTATGAAGATTTACATAGTTACAAAACTCTACAGCAGTAAATGTAACTGACAAAGTCTGATCTGTATCTTCAAGACACTGATTCTTACTGGTAGTCACAGACTTTCAATTCTGAATGCTAATATTTCCCGTAGGTGGCCAATGAACCCATCCACAGCCAGAAGCAAATAGATTTACATTTAAAGGGAGACAGAAAATCACAGACAAATTCGACTTAGGGCCATCTGCGCACTTCCAGGCAGCCTATTTGCAATGCCACTCGCAAAGGCCTGGGAAGAGTTTTCTTGCTTAGTTATGACATTGAGGACTAGAGTCATAACAACTGCACTAGATTGCATAGTAACTTTAAACTAAAAGTTAGCAGAAGGTTTAAAGCGATGCCTGTTTATTGGTGTGCCGTTACTATAAACATTGTACAAGCAGCCTGCATTTTGTGGCACAATTTTCTGTCCAGCTTTCTGTACCATTGAGTTTTATTTGCAGAACAATTCCACAATCCTCTTAAGTCTTATTTAGAAGAGTGACTGTTAACTTCTCAATGAAAAAGCAATCTCTTTGTGTCCTCGATGAGATTACAACTGTGTTTCTGGTTATCTCAAACTAAATCTCACTGACAATTCTCTTTCCCTTTAGAGATAGATGTTACCTGTTAGGCAAAGACCTAGGCCACAGGGAAAAAATCTTGCTCACATACCCAGATTAGCCAGGGTTAATGGAAATATTGTAACTATTCTTGCCTACAACTGAATGATGCAATTCATAGTTATGCAAACATCATGTGAACATAATTGAATCTGGTCTAGCGAGTCACATGCTAATAAATGGGTTACACGTTTTTTTGCCAAGTTATCATTTAACTCTTTCTGCTTTCTCTATCATTTTAATCAAAATTTGTTAAAATAGCAATCAGAATTTGATCTAAAGTGTGTGCAAAGTTATTAATTCTGGCCCACAATTGTATCATTTCATTCCTGCTGATGCCATAGTGATCATGTGTTGTTAATGAGGGGAAAGTCCATCCCACCTTTGTAAGGCACATTTTAAAGAGAATCTTGTTTTGTTTATTTAATCCAAATAAAAATTGTTTTTGAAAGGGTTGCGAGACATATAATTTCAATTGCACATACAGACTCAGCTAAGCTTCATTATTTTCAGGTTTGGTTGAAATCAACTTTTAATTTTTCTGACTTTTGTGCAATGATATGACGATTATTTTACATTGATTTTTTACTGATATTTATCAATTATTTTTCTACAATTCTTGAACTTGGAGGAGACACATCGACGATCATAATAGTTTATCCAGGTTTATTCCCTATATAAAAGAGCATGTTTTGGAAACCCTTTGGTGAGTCACTCTCGCTATAAGCGTGTGTTTTTAGGCTTCTCTTCTTGCTTGCTCACCTTTGACCTCACAACACGCCATTTCTGAGGCTCCAGACATGCTTTGATTCATTTATTTTCTTCAATTCTTTCCCTCTGGCATTAAAAAAAATATTTTTATGCACAAAAACATATTTGGGTTGAATTGCGAAACATCCCAAAAAACAATGAAAGTCGATGTTTGATGATTTTTAGCAAATCCAAGTAAGCCACCATTAAATCAAATCATAATTAATGTAACAAAGGAAAAACTGGTAACTATTTTATTTACGCTCCTTTTTTTTATTTTTCCCCTTCTGAAGGGAGTGAATCATGTTATGCTGGAAAACGGTTCTACAGGAGCTTGAAGGGTTTGTAATACTTTGGGATTTTGATGCCAATAAAACTCCACATGCATTGGCAGCCTTACAGAGTTTCACACTAGTAGACATTCTTTGTGTTATGAGACTAGACTGTCATTCTCAACAGTCCTTTTAACATTAAGTAGATATAGTGGATCCAGTACACATCTGGATACATTTGCCAAACTGCTCTGAAAAAACAGTTTTTGATTATAAGTAGCTGTTCCAGTTGTTATAGGAATAAAACATTACAGTATTTTTAAAATACATTAATTTGTTACCTGATGTCACCTTTTAAGATTTTTCATAAACTAAGATACAATACCTACAGCCTTGTCTATAAAATACATCAGGGCAATTTGTTATCAAGCTATCAAAGATATTAAGTTTTATCAGAATAAATCGATTTGAACTGTTCACAACACATAACTGTAGTCCTTGATCACTACAAGAGGCCATAAAGGTGCTTTTTTCTGCCCTTTATTTTTATACGTCAACTCAGATGCAGTATATTCCCAGTTGAGTAAAATAATTATAGAACAGGGTACAATTTTATTTTTTCCCTTTTGACTTAAATGGATTTTTGGTTTATTGAACAATGGCTTTGACAATCAAATGATTTGCTGATGGTTAGCACCGACATACCAGAGATAACTTCTGTAGCTATTAGGCAACAGCCATCGATTGCACAATCTGCAAGGGGCTTGAGAAACAAAACTATTTTATTATGATCTGGCAGTTATTTACTGGACGCAAAGAAATTCCAAACCTTCTGTTAAATAGCTTACACCGTTACCATAGTGAAGTTCTGTAACATCAACCTTTGAGTCAAACCAGAACTAGTCATTAAATTCAAAATGTGAGCTATTTTGTTTCAAAAAAACAATTATTGTTACAATACAAAATATTTGGGGTAGTTCTCAATAGTACCAGGTTTAAAATGAATATTTTTAAAAATTGCACTCGTATCTTCCATTTGATTCTTTGATATATCAAACCAGCTGACAAGTACTGGGAATGACATGGTTGCAACATTGTTGGACAAAAATCTGAATATTGTGTCAAGGAGCGTTTCTGGCTTTCAAGCCAAAATCTCCTGAGGATATAGCTCCTTTAAACATTGAAAATAATACTCATCTTACTGCAAATGTAAAATAACTGTAAAATTACTTTTTATTTTGTTAGATAATTTATCTTAGAATTATTAATAACAATCCTTGCATTTGAAATGTAATATATATATTCAATGTTGATATTTGATACTTAATATTGATAACTGTAACCCCCAGCTCAGGTGCAAACTGTCACCCACTGTCAGCGCCTTAGGATGTCCCCCCAACATGAAAGGCGCTATATAAATGCAATTTGTTGTTATTGCTGGATTGTTGTTGGCCAGGTGGACCTTTTTTGTGATTACAAAGCCAAATTCAAACACACTAAATGTATTGTTTACCTTGCATTTGATTTTTTTTTTAGCCTTAGCCTCCTTCAAGTCCCGCTTCAAAACCCTCCTCTTCGACCACGCCATCCGTCACTGCCCCCCCCCCCTTCCCCTTCCTGAGCCCAGTTCGGGTCTGAAATGCTGTACACTGTTCAGCGCCTTGGGACGTCCTCCCGACGTGAAAGGCGCTATGCAAATGTAACCTCGGCGTTGTCGATATAGCGCTTTTCACGTCGTCGAGACGTCTCAAAGCAACTCACAGGCTACGCTGTAAAGTGGATTGGTCGGAGCGCTCAGTGAGCAATGATAACACAATGATACTGTTATAGGCGCGTTCGCGCGCGCGCGGGGGATGCGCTCACGCTCCTTCAGTTTAACTGTGCCAACAACAGTGAAATGGAAAGGACAGCAGAGGGCGACAACTGGAAAGGCAAGCCGAAAAACACCGCTTGCAGTCCTGCACACATTTTGTTTACCAGAAGAAACCACAGCCAGAAATGCAGTTAGATTTCGGAAGCGTTTCCTCAGAAGAAGCTCTTATTATTTCCACAGAAGTTTTGGCACACACTGTTTTTTTCTCTCTCTCTCTCTCTCTCTCTCTGGCTCTGGCTCTCTCTCGCTCAGGAAAGACTGTGCCGCCAGGCGTCTCACACCCATCCATTAAACCTCCTGGGATAAATAACCGTTGGCCACCGCCACCAGGAGACAAGACACTCCCTTCTTTATTTGAATGCAGTCGTGTCATGTGAGCTTTAACGTCCAACTGGACACGGGGCTGAAACGTCTCGTTCCAAACGACGGCACTTGGGGCAATGCAGCACATCCCATTTAACAACAACAACAACAACAATACTAATGATAACAAGCCTTTCATTTGATCATGGGGCCTTTATCGCGTCGACGAGGCGTCTCAAAGCACTTCACAGAATGTACGAGTAAAGTGTAGTGACTGTGCATTGAGTGGGCGAAAGGGGACAGCCAACTGCGCACACCAGGGTCCCACAAGCAGTGGTGGCTCGAGCGACCAAATTATTAGGACCTACTCTTGCCTTCCTTACACGCCTTTCCCCCCACCCAGGCTTTTCCCCCCCACCCAGGCTTTTCCCCCCGCTTACCTTCCTCACCGCCCGCACCAGTGCGTGACCCAACCTCTAACCCCCCCCCCTCCCTCCCAACCGCCCACTGTTACCCGCCCTCTAACCTCAGCACAGCACGTGTGGCCGGGGTTTGTTTTCAAAATCCAACGGCTGCTCGAGCGCGTGGCGTTGCATGCCGGGGGATGCAGTTCGCCTGGCGGCGGTTGAGCGACCGCGCCAGGGAGGGAAGGGCGGGAACTCCAGGTCCCAGAGTGCTCCGCGCCGAGCCGCTCCGCGAGCAGTGACTGACGGACGGACCCGACCGCTGGGATGCGCTGCTGCCGCCGCCGCCGCCACCACCACCAGCGCCGAGACGGAATAAGTCAAGTCATTTCGCCTCGGACGGCAAGGAGTGGTCTGGGAGATCCTCCCGACGCTTGACTGAAATGTATCGGTTCGGTGGCGGCGTCGTCGTGAGGCTGACGGCGGCTGGGAGATGCCCGGCGGTGGCGGCGGTGGCGACCTTTATGCGGCGGCCGGTGTGCGCCTCGCGCCGCGCCGCCGGCTCCCGCGCCTTTCAGTCGGGCTCCACCGGGAGCCTGGCCGTGAAGCTGAGCACAGCCGCCGAGGTCAAGACGTCGACCGCCAAGAACGGGGACAAGGTGCTGAACCTGGGGAACATGAACCCGCAGGTCCGCGCGGTGGAGTACGCGGTGCGGGGACCGATCGTCGCCAGAGCCAGCGAGATCGAGAAGGAGCTCCAACAGGTGGGTGGGTGGGTGGTGGGTGTGTGGGTGGGTGGGGGGGATCGCGAGGCAACCGGGTAAACGGGGGTTGATAACCGGGCACACACACACACACACCGAAATGCACTGGGTAAACGACGAATGCCACGCACGCACACCGCGGCTCTGCTCCGGGGTTTGGAGAGCTGTGCAAACAGCCAGGAATTCTCACTGGAGACGAGCCACACGAGAGCAATGTAAACATGGGAATGCACGCAGACACACCTACACACATGAATGCACCGGCTGAGCAGTCAATGCATATATTGGGAAAACGGGCACTCGGTACCGGACTGGGTTTGCACGCACAGATATTAGTGGAAATCAGTCATACAAGAGGGACGCGCACGCTGACAGCTTTCGCACAGAGAGTCAAACACGGGAGTAGTGTAGTGCAGGACAGTGCTGCACACAGCAGGGACTCAACTGGGACTCTACCCTTCCCAAACATACCCGCTTGTATAGTGAGGATCCAGAGGTTTAGGCTCAGCACTGCCTGGTTCGTGTGGTCCAGCACTGGGTTCAGAATAGCGCCCAGCACACTCACCCAGAAATGGATTGGTGACTGCTGCGTGCACACGGCGAACATTGCAGTCGTAGGTGGTGGACAGATTGTAGGTACTGATGTATTGGTTACTACAGAATGGAAAGGCATAACCCTGATTACCTCCCCCACCCGATTCCATTCCAATCTGAAGCAAAGTGCACCCCGGCACAGCCAGACGAAAATCGGGTGACGGGTCCCTCGTGTACCTCCCGGTGGCGTGTGGATTGTAATATTGTTGCTCTTACGGAGACAATGTTTATTAATGTGTATTAAAAGTAACCCTTTTTTCTTTTGGGATTCTTTTGAGTCTTTGGTTGATGATTTAAAAAGGGATTCATGAGGTGGCTGCTGCTGTTGATGATTTTGTACAGGTGGGATATATTTAAACTTGGCTTTTGCCAATACATATGATTACATTTACACCCATGAATGTTAACTTGGATAAATGATTGATGATCAAACGTATACATGAATATGACTGCTCTCTTTCACACCCACTATGCGGATTGGCTGTTTAGGAAGGCGTGTATACCTCCCCCACAGAGGAAGACTTTTATATGGGGCTGAATTTTGTTTGCAGTGTAGTTAGAGTTAACCCCTTTCTGAAAGTTTTTAAAAAAATTAATCTATACAATATAAGAAGTAAAAACCTTGTCATTTTGAAAGATGACTAAACTAAATCTTGCCAACAATTTGCATTGTTTATTTGGTCATCCGGGTGTCTCGACACGTGTGGAAACCATGCTTAAGGATATCCAAACCAAACTGAGAATTCCATGCATCCCACCTTCACGTGGAAATTCCAGAGATCGCTGGTTGGAATGGAATGCACACTCTCCCTGGAGAGACACATCCTGCTCACCTAAATTCCGGAAAGTATTAGGCACAGGTTTGTTTGTGTGGCCTCCACTATGATCGCTTAGTCATACAACACTCTTGCATGAAAAATGGCTACTTAGGTGAGTTACCTTTATGGACTCCTGTGTAACTGTAGAGTACAAATTAGTGTCTTGAGTACAGGGGAACAAAACTCAGAGTTCTGAAATATGTTAACGAAAATAGGTGGAATATATTCACAACAACTTGCATTTGTATGCTGCCCTTTATGCAGGGTAGGGTCTCAGAGCGCTTATTCACTCCTTGAGTTACAGTGAACTGGAGTTAGGTTTACTTGTTTTGCAACTTCAGGAATGTTTTTTGAACAAAAACTACTAGAAAAGTCACTCAAGTATTGCTGTGTATTCTTTACATGGCACCCTTTGAGACATCCTCCTCAAAGTCTGTTATTCACATCAATTCACTTTTTAAATCTTTGTGACAACCATTTTTGTGTAATATCCTAGATCTCTTTATCATTTAGACATTCAGATAGTTAACCAAACTTAATATTAATACGTTTGAATTAAAAGCAATTATTGAAGGGGTCTCTCTTGATAAACCCAAATGAATCATGATTCTGTAGATGAAAGCTTTCATGATTTATAAATGTAGCATGACCAGTCCTTCTTTATTAATCAACAGCATGTATGGTATCTAATTGGAACAGATGCTTGTTTACTGCAATATGAGTATCCATGATTCTTCATAGGAGTTTTTTTATAGGAATTAAAGATGACACTGGATAAAATTTCTTGAAAGCACATGTCAACTCAGATCAAATTTAGCTTCCCTAGCCACCTCCACACCAAGGAAATCCATTAGTAAAGATCTGTAATGTGTATGTTGAGGATCTCCCTCCCACATCTTTCTGATCTTCTTCTATCTGTGCTAATTATTAAAAGGAACATTCATGAGAATGCCCCCATATATATATATATATATATATTAAATCAGTCAGAATTTAAATGAAGCAACAAAAATGACTGCTGATTGCCAAAAATTGTGGTGATCTTGGCTGTTGCAGATTGGAGAGGACCTCTTTGATGTTGCTAGCACTGACCCCTAAGTCAATTATAGGTATTTTGTCTGTCCTTTTGACTTCCAGCCTTCTGAATAACAATACTACAATTGGGGAGGGGGTTGGGATCAGGGAGGGTGGCTGAAGGCACGGTCGAAGAGGAAGGTTGTGAGGCGTGCCTTCATGGAAGCAAGAGAGTGAGCAAGGCAAAATGAATGTGGAATGGAGTTACAGTGGTGGGGCAGAGAGGCAGGTTGGAGCCTGTTGAGCAAAGGGAGTGGATGGGTTGTTAAGGGATTAGTGCATTGACGAGGTAGAGGGGGCAAGGCCGTGGAGGGCCTTGAAGGTGAGGACAAGGATTTTTAACTCAATCCTTTGAGGGTCATAGGCATATTTAGTTTAAATGGTACCATGATTACATTAAGGAGTTAGACAAAGCTTTTGCCAATTGATTTTAAAAGAATGGTGCTTAGTGAGGGATATTTCCGTCCCCAGATTTGTACTGTTCCTGGTGATCAATTCAAGTCACATTACCTGGAAGTACAGAAATGAATAATTCTCTTAAGAGGTGTCTGGGTTTAAATTACCTGGACCTAATTGATCTGTTTTGGTGACAAAATGACAGTTGGATATCAATGGTCATACTGTTCTCTATAGTTCTTGCATCAGTTTCCAAACAAAATGCCATTAAATTTAGTAGATTTAGAATTTTTAAAAAAGAAAATTTATATTGATATTACTTGAAATAAGTAAAATAAATATAAATATTTGGGATTAAAATATTCTGAGCTATTACATATTTGTGGTTGGCAAAGAACATCTTATGCTAAACCTTGTCTTCATTGTGGATCAATTCTGCAATGTTCAGCATAATAAAATAATGCAAGGTATCATTTTCCTGATCTATAGGCTACCAGTTCTGTTTGTCAGGAATTTTAAAATGATTTCTATGACTATATAGCTTGTGAGTAGCATACTAATTATGATTTTGGCTCGACAGAGGTGGCAAGTATTTTTTTGAAATGTACTTTTCACATTGTAATCATTCCCATCTTAGTTATCTTCTTTAAAAACTAAGATTGAGGTCTGATTCCGCTCCAATGCTGCAAGCAGTCAGCTATACATGCTGAGATGCCATCCGGCGTGGAGGGCGCTATATAAATCCAAATTGTTGTTGTCTGGCATTGCCAGACAAAGTCTAAAATATTTATTTTCAAGGCCCTAAGTGGTTTCCAGTACTGTAGCCCCAGAAGATTTTAAGTCTTTTTTTACTTTGTAGGCATTGCAATATATGATTCGTATTACAAACTTACCCATTTAGGCTTCCTCGATCAGTTTAAAACATATTGATCTTGTAGTTCAAATGAAATCTGATTTTCAAAGTTGCATTAGAATTTTTTCCAGCCAATTAACAACTTGGATTTATATTGTGCCCTTCACGCTGAAGGTTATCAAAATTTGGTGGGCTAAATGATCTGTAAGATTCATAAATGTAGCTATTTGCTCTATGCTAACATCAAAATAATTTTGGTATGGAGCAGCAAAGCAACTCATGCCAGGCTATTTAGAAACTTATCATCTTACTAGAGGGAGTGAAACTAAAGTAGCCTTTTGATTTGCAGCAATTTTCTGGCAAGTTGAGTTCCTGAATTCCTGGCTGGAGAGAACTCCTTCAGGGCTGTAGTGTTTGGGCTCTATGGAAAGTATTTCACAGCAGCTATTGCATTTGATTTATGAATTCAACATTGTGTACTGCATATTTTGCCATCTCCATTCAATATTACACATATTTCTTGAGGATCTTGTAATTCAGGCAAAACCGATAGTGAATCCAGCATATAGTATTGCATCAAAATTTACACATAAATAGTAGCACTGTAGTGCAGTTCAATCCCTTGCTTTTTAATTAAGTAACCATATAAACTGTAACTGACGAAACATTGAGATGTGATTAATTTTATGGCAGCCATCTGGTTAGCCCACTAATGGGATAGACGCCATTTTTCCAGACACAACAACAAGATTACATTTGTATAGTGTCTTTCACGTTGGGAGGGCGTCCCAAGACGCTGGATAGTGTACAGCATTTCAGACCCGAGCTGGGGTCAGTGAGGGAGAGGGGAGGGGAATGGGGGTGACCGATGGCATGGTTGAAGAAGAAGGTCTTGAGGCGGGACTTGAAGGAGGCTAAGGAGGGGTGAGGCGGAGTGATTGGGGGATGGAATTCCAGAGGTTGGGGGCAGAGTGACTGAAGGCTCTCCCACCAATAGTGGGGCGGGTGGGTCGGGGGACGTGGAGCAGGCCGGAGCCGGCTGAGTGGAGGGAACGGGCGGGTTAGTAGGGGGATAGGAGGTCACGGAGGTAGGATGGGGCGAGGCCATGGAGGGCTTTGTAGGCGAACCATTATAGAAAGGCCATTGATACGTTACCTTTTCTATGGCTCCCAATGATAAATTTATATCCATGTTATTACTGTGTGTATAAATTAAAATTTCTAGGATAGGGCAAATAACACAATGTGCTGTATTCAGATAATTTAACTGGCTGGTGTGTGCTGAGGGATGAAGTTGTATTACACTTACACTCTTCCCTGAAATTAGAACATGTTTATGGATTCTTCAGTAATAGAAGAACCATATATCTTATCTGTTATTATCTGAGCCAATATTTCTAAAATTCAAATCATGAAGTCCTTTTTGCCTGAGAGATGTATGAATGATTTTTTTTTAGAAAGCAGTTGCATAGTTGGACACTCATTGTCTTCAGTGTAGTTTAAAGGCAGCTAAAATAGCGAGAAGAGGAATTCTTCAAATTTGATGGCTTTTTTATGTTATGCTTAGCTTTTAGTTGCATAAATGCTATTTATGTGCAGTTACGTGTTAATAAAAACAAGCAAATTGCTATGAATGTCTGGAGATCAAAATCTTTTGTTTGACACTGAAGAATGTTGTATGTTGGCCCAATTCTCGTTCTGTTTAATGAACTTAGTCATTTGATCTTAATGCAGAAAACCTGGCATTTGTGGAGGAGGGTATAACTTGATTTAATTGATATGTGGGTTCTGTGGGCACTGGCAGCCCTCTGATAACTAGTTCAACCTGCTGTTCATCAGGCTTGACCCTAGACAAGTCAGTGTTAAGTCTGTTCCACAGTACGTCCTTCCAACGTGAAAGGCGCTATAAAAATGTAATTTGTTGTTGCCAAACTCATTTCTGTTGAACCTGTCTTTATGTAAAACAGTGCATTTTGAATTAGTTGATCTTACGTGGCACAGTAATTAACCAATAGCATTAGACTCTGTGCGTTGGATTAGGGAGGGGAAATTAGCAAATTTCCTCTTGCTCCTAGGTTTAGCAAGTTTCCTCTGGCACCTCCCTACTTCTCCAACCTCCTCATTCCCCAATGCACCACCCTGTGCCTCTGCTCAACTGGCACCGGCCTCCCTCGGACCCTCCACCCCACCATCGGAAGTTGTGCATTCAGCCACTACACCCCAAAACTCTGGAAGATTCTCCCTCAATCCCTTCGCCTTGCCCCCTCCCCACTTTCAAGTCCTGCCTGAAAAGGGTTCCTCTTCGATCGTGCTTACAGCCACCTCCACCTCCTTCCAGCTCGGAGTCAGGCTCTTCCACTTTTAAGCTCTCTGAGACGCTACCCTGCATGGAGGGTGCTATATAAGTGCAAGTGTTGTTGTTTAGCGACAATGATGATGAATGAGATAATCTTGCTATAAACATACATAGAAAAGATCTATGTGGATAGTCAAGCTTATTACAAAGAGGAGTTTCACTTTTCTCTCTCCCCTCTCTTCCACACCCCCTCCCATCCCTCCTTACTATTCATAGACCAGTGCTTAAGTGCTTTGAGACCCTACCCTGGGTGGAGGGCACTATATAAGTCAAGTTGTTGTTGAAATTAGCTAATCCGTGCTAGTATTGACCCTGCTCCACTTGACAACATTATCTTGGTTCACACTAAAACAACGTCCATTTGAGCGAGATCCGAGAGGTGCACAACAAACATCACGTATCTGGCTTGATAACATTTTGCTACTGACATGGTCAGGAAAACATTTCCTAGAACTGCAAGTTACTGTCCTGTGTTCCCAATAAGGAGGGGAATAGTTCACACTTGTCCACACTCGGTTTTATCTGACAGAGTGAATGATTAAGATGTCTTGGAGCCAAACACTCTCTCAACCTATTTTCAAGGGAGAGAAATTCAGAGAAAGAAGCAATCCCAGGATATTGTTTTGCATCATATCAGTCAATATTACGAACAGGGTCCCTTGATTTCAGTGGCATAGGGAATTTTAAACAAGAAAACAGTCCAGGGGCATAGGGCCGAAGAGAGAACGGGGACAGTCTGGAGGGGAAAAGAGAAGTATCAAACATGTTTAGATTAAAATAAATGCCCTATTCTGGAAAATACTGCATGCAACAAGATAGAACTTTTCATTCTTGAGAGAAGGTAACTCAGAGGGGATCTCATATAAATGTATACAATGCAGAACAGTACTTAACAATGCTTTGAACTGTAAGATAGAAATCTGTTGCTCTTTCAAATGCACCCAACAACACAACAAGTGGTTAATTTCACAGACTATGTTACATTTGATTGTAATAAGTTATGCTTTTTTTAGGGAGTCCAGAAGCCCTTCACGGAAGTAATAAGAGCAAACATAGGAGACTCTCATGCTATGGGACAGCAACCAATTACATTTCTGAGACAGGTAGGCAAGTCTCTAATTGTGTACCTAACAAATGTTTTTCTCTGAAAGAAAATGGAATTGAAGAACACGGAACCCTAGAAAATGTGTTCCCTTTAGCTTCATCCTGTGGCTGTTATTCCAAATGAATCAAATTTCTAAACCTTTTCTCAAGTGAATCCTATTTCTAAACCTAATGTTCTTATTAAATAGCTTAAACTCTGAGTTTTTATACTGCTTATAATGCACCACAACCTGGAACAATACTGGATAAACAATCATATTTTCAAAATTAATATTTTAAGGCCAGTACATTTATTATGTGATTTACTTGCAAATGTATTTTATTATGTAAATTTTAATGCAGTATGTGCAGTTGATAAAGAATAAATGTTAGATTTTATTAACATAGGAAGTTGGTAGATAATGGAGGGTTGTTAAAATGTGAAATATAATTTTATTATCACAGCTGAGTCCATAACAGGATTCAAATTATCACAGCTGATCCATAACACGATTAAGCACTTGAGAAAAATGTAGAAATCTAATTGAAGGCTATAGAATTCGAACAGATAGTTTCAGTGGGGGAGCCAGAACTAGTGCAAACCTGATGGGCCAAACTTTAAAAATTTGCAGTCAAAAGTACTAACCTTGGACTGGTGACTATTAATCCAGACATACACTTACTACTGGTTTCTTCTTTCCATACTATAATCTTCAGCTCCAGCATTTAGGAAAGATCGTAGCACAAATTGTCACCGCATAATTTACAGCCCTTTAAAGCTTGTCTTATTTTCTGGGTGGCATTTATAAATGCCAGAGTTCCTTAGAAATGTTTCCATTCATGAATATTTGTCTTTTTTTGTTGATTCTTCACATTACGGATACTGATATTACCAAAGTTGAATAAAATTGATTGTTGTTGGTGACTATTTTGAATGCAGAAAATGAATTGTCTGGAGAGGAATGGAATACAGTTGCTTGTTTCTGGCCTCAATACCAAATTCAAATAATTAAATTCAAGTGCAAAATCTAACGTTTTATATTTGTGGCCCGTTTCAGGTTGTTGCTCTTTGTACTTATCCAGAGCTGTTTGAGTATTCACATTTCCCAGCAGATGCAAAACGGAGAGCTCAATGTATTCTAATGGATTGTGGAGGAAAAAGTCTTGGTAAGCCTGCTTTATCAGCCACTTTTATGAAAACAGGTCCTTTTCAACAGTTTTGGAAAAAAAGCCAAACTTTACAAACTTACAAAAACTTTTACTTTAGGATTTAAGTGCCAGCTGTGTACATGCATGTGAGGGATTGATGTAACAGAGTTTATTATTATAATTGATTTCTAATGCAAGTCTTTGCTTTTAATGAAATCCAGAACCTGAGATTTGTTATAGTGTGTATACCACCACGTATGTTGGAGTACTGATTGATTATTCTAACGAGTGCAGATTGAACACGAAGTAGAGTGGCATTAGACGGTCTCTTGGAAACCGAATAATATAAAGTAGGAAAATAAAGATTGGAGCCTCATGGCTCAGTGAGTAGTACTTTGTGTGATCTGGAGCCATGCAAAGCAAGATATGTATTGAGGTTACCCCCTGCTTACCTGACTCCAGGTAAACTGAATCCAACCTTAGCCAGAAAAACAATTGAAACATTTGTAAAAGTTTCCATGACCGTGCATGTCGAGTCTTGTCGCCCCCACCTCACTGTGCTTGCTAACCTTTGGTGGCCAGGGATATCAACTTTGACTCAGTTTGAATCCCAGGAGCAGAAGATAGCTTATTCACTATCTTCTCCTCGCAGAACTGATGACATTGATAAATGCCAGTACTTCAGCCACTCTGCTCCCATCCTCTGGAACGCCAACCTGCAGTCCCTCCGCTTTGCACCCTCCCTTGGCCTCCTTCAAGACCCCCCTCATCGACTGTGTATTTGGTCACCCTCCTTCCCTCTCCTGCCCTCCACCCCATGATACATACATGAGGGAGACGGAAATAGTGGAGAAATAAGGCTCATGAGGAGTATAAAACCTTAATGGACTAGTTAGGCTGAGTGGCCGGTTTCCGTGCTGTATCATTCTATGTAATTCTGTGCTGAACCTGGAAATATTTGCTGTTGCATCATTTGGAAAAACCCAGGCCACTGGCAATGTGATCCTGCTGTGCTGAAAGCCCACTGGCAATGTGATACTGCTGTGCTGAAAGTAAACTAACCATCAGTATATCTTGCACTGACACTTTTCTATTTTCACCATTTTTTCATCAGGTTCTTACAGTGTAAGCCAAGGTTTGGATTGTATACGTCACGATGTTGCTAGGTATATAGAGACAAGAGATGGCGGAGTCCCTGTTAATCCTGATAATATTTACCTTACCACTGGAGCCAGTGATGGAATTACTGTACGTGTAACAGCAACTGAGTCTTAAGATTTATAGTTTCTAACAATGTAGTCATCGCTGTTAAATTATTTTAATGCCAGAAGGTGTTTAAAATAAAATGCACCATTGTCTGGCATATTGTGTTGAATCTTTGAAAGTTAATATCGTGTCTATATTGATCTTACAGACAATTATGAAACTTCTCGTGTCCGGCGAAGGGACTATGCGGACTGGAGTGATGATACCAATACCACAGTATCCCCTGTATTCTGCAGTTATCTCTGAACTCGGTGCTGTTCAAGTCAACTACTATCTGAATGAGGAAAACTACTGGGCTCTAGATAAGGATGAATTGAGGCGGAGCTTCAATGCAGCCAGAAATTACTGCAACCCCAAGGCCCTTTGTATTATTAACCCAGGAAATCCAACTGGTACTTTACTTCAAATGCATTACAACCAAATATTTATATTCTGGGTGGGAGGGAGAAGAAGAGAGGTACACAGTGCTCCAAACTATTTCCCGTACTATAGTTACAGAAGTCCAAACTATACTGCTTTAATAGTAATAACGAGGGACATTGTTAGGCTGTTTTATTTTTTTAAAGTAATTTCCAGAGGCAAATTGTGTTCTTTGTTTGATAGGTATAATATTTGATTTTTATTAGGTACAGTGACTCAGTTTAACAAGTTGTCTTCTCACAGTCGCCTTCTAATCAGTCTTGACACTGGCTAAGAGAAGGCCCATTCGGGCAGAGTGTTTGTTTCTCGGTAAGTTCATTACTTCCTTGGATTGATGACCTTGCCCTTTTGCATGGCTCCATCAAGTGGCCTGGTTGAGAATTGACAAAACTTATTGAATGAAAGTTAAGCGCATTCAGGACATGGGACTTCAATCCATATCCTTCTGGGTGGGATTGTTTGCTTTTGAGAAGCCACCTGCAGGAGATAAAAGACTAAAAAGATTGTCTTTGACTTAAATGTGTTAACTTTTAATTTGTTCTAACTGCAGGCCAGGTACAAAGCAGGAAGTGCATTGAGGATGTAATTCACTTTGCTTATGAGGAGAAACTCTTCCTTCTGGCTGATGAAGTAAGGATCACACCATATTCTTGCATTTGCAGATGGGGGAGCCTGACATTCAGTTTTTAAAACAGCCATGTATATTGGCGTATATTCTTTGCACACAACATCATTGCTGAAAAACAAAAATCATCTTCTGCTGAAATATACATAGTTGCTTTTTTTCTCTCCTCTAGGTTTACCAGGAAAATATATATTCAGAAGGGTGTGAATTTCATTCATTCAAGAAGGTGCTGTATGAGATGGGCCTAGAGTATTCTAGTACAGTGGAACTGGCCTCTTTTCATTCCACATCTAAAGGCTACATGGGAGAGTAGGTGTTTGTTTTTCTGCCGCTCTATTATATAGCAAATGTTACAAGTACTATTAATTCTGCTATTTTCTTTCCAGAATGTTGCTTATTGAGATTTCCTCCCTGACTTTATCAATGTTTACATCTCGGTTCAATCATTATCATTTTGTTCACAAAATTTTTATTAGGATGCATAAACAACAAAATTACATTTGTACAGCGCCTTTCACGTCAGGAGGATGTCCCAAGGCGCTGGACAGTCTACAGCATTTCAAACCCGAGCTAGGGTCAGTGGGGGGGAAGGGAGGGGGGGGAGAAGTGGGGTGACCGATGGCATGGTCGAAGAGGAGGGTCTTGAGGCGGGACTTTAAGGAGGGGGTGAGGTGGATGGATTGGGGTATGGAATTCCAGAGGTTGGGGCGCAATGGTGGGGTGGGTTGGTCAGGGGACGTGGAGCAGGCCGGAGCCAGCTGAGCGGAGGGAGCGGGTGGGTTGATAGGGGGTTAGGAGGTCGCAGAGGTAGGGTGGGGCGAGGCCGTGGAGGGCTTTGTAGGTGGGGACCACGATTTTGAACTGGATCCTCTGAAGGATAGGGAGCCATTGGAGTCGGGCGAGAATAGGGGCGATGGGGTCATGGAGTTTGGTGCGGGAGAGGACACCGGCTGCAGAGTTCTGGATTATCTGCAGCCTGTGGAGGGAGGAGTTGGGAAGGCAGACATAAAGAATGCAGCAGCATATGTTCCTGGTTGGAAGGGATAGGGTTAATAATTTGGTTTTCTGTCCCTAATATTGGAGCTCTATCGGGGTCTGTGTTCTGGAGGTGAAAAGGGGTTTCTCATCTCCTGTGGAGCACAGATGCTCCCTTTGTGACTGGGTTTGAAAGTAGTGGAATTAGGCTTTGGGTGAAATAAAACTTGCTCACTAGCTGCTGGAAGATTTGAGTTGGTCCTTTTTCAAAAGGCTGACCTAGTCTGTTTTTTATTTGTTGTTGTTCAGTTTCCTATCTAGTGTAAAAGGTGACCTGGGTTGTTGCATTGCGGTTCCAGAGTCTCAATTCTTCAACCGAGTGAATGCTGTGCAAGCCAAGAGTGTTGGCAGGCTAATTGACTTGAAAGCCATCACAGCTGAGTCTGAATTTCACAATATATTCATGTCCTTTCACTTACAAGAAAGTTCTGATTCTGCTGTTTGAGATTTAGTTTTTTAGTTCTGACTTTTAATTCCAATCTAATTTTTCGTAGGTGTGGATATAGAGGTGGTTATATGGAAGTTATTAACTTAGATCCAGAAGTTAAGGTGCAGCTTGAGAAGCTACTGTCTGTTCGCCTGTGTCCTCCAGTCTCGGGTCAGGTAGCTATGGATGTTGTGGTAAACCCCCCAAAGCCTGATGAGGAATCTCACGAGACATTTATGAAGGTCAGTCAATTTTAAGCTTCAATTATCTTCTGTTATTTCCCACCACTATTGTGGTGAGAAATGTTAGTAAAATTAGTACATTAGGGTGAGTTCGCAGAATTCTGAATTGAAAACTTATAATCCTCCAATTTAATTCCTAAAATTTAAATGTGAGTTATGATCTTTAAGGAACACTAATTTTAAAATAATTTTTTAATGTATGATTCTCTGCTTAGTTTTTGGTTTTATTGGACATTAAGGGGGCAGGTCTAGTAATTATGTTTGTATCCATTGTTACTCGGGTTGTTGCTGGATACTGTAGAATTGTGGCTCCCGATTAAAATGAATTATAATGTCAGTGCCCACCATCCCCATCCAAATAGGGTGTGAGGGGAGTTTGACCTTTATTTAGGCTATAGCAAGAAGAGCAGTTCAGTGGAGAGAATAGGCATAAAGATCCACCCAAAGTTGGTGGCTGGATATTAAAGAAGTGGTGACCAAGTTGAGATTCCAGCTTTGGCAAATTACCCAGCTTTCAGTGTACTTTCTTGAGTATTGCATTTATTAAATTGCACAGACTTAGAAGTTAATATTGTACAGTAATAGACTTAATAACTTATTTTAAAATGTAATTCTCACGTATGTAGAAGTGAAGCATGCAAATATGTGTGGCAAACCATTATTCATAGACACTGATATGCTGTGACTAGAGGTAGTACTGTGACCGATATGAATTTGATCATTAATTAGATTTGTGGTCTTAATTTGCAGGAGAAGAAAATTGTGCTGAGTAACCTGGCTGAGAAAGCAAAGTTAACAGAGGAAGTTTTGAACACTGTTCCTGGAATGAAGTGCAATCCTTTGCAAGGGGCTATGTATGCATTTCCAAGAATCTTTATCCCTCCCAATGCTATCCAAGAAGCGAAGGTTTGTACTTTGAGAAAAAATATCATATGTCCCTATGTCACTTAGCATCCTGTGAATATTGTAATTTGTTTAATGCACGGCTTTTGCATTAGTGAAAGTAAGAATAGTGTCTCACCAGGTACGTCTACGCTGTCTTTCTAGGACTGACGGAGAAGATTGTTCTAGTGGAAAAACTATCTGTTATCATTAAGATGTTTTACTCCTAAAGTAGGTTTTAAAAAAAAGTGGATTCAAATGGGTATCAACTGAGCTGTGGGGGAAGGATATACAAATCCTATTGATTCTGTACAGAGAATGCTGTGCCATTATGCCTCTTGCTATCATTTATTCAATTGACTTCCCAGGTTGAAAGGTCTACTGCACTTCAATAATAGGTACTGTTCTGCTTATTTGATCTAATTTGAAGTTTTTTTTTGGTTTAGGCCCAGGCAATGGCTCCAGATATGTTTTACTGTATGAGTCTCCTAGAAGAGACTGGAATCTGTGTGGTTCCTGGCAGTGGATTTGGACAGAAGGAAGGAACACATCATTTCAGGTAAAATACCCTTGTAGTTTATTAAAGACATACAAATTCTACTATTCTAATTTTTGCCAGTTTCCCTTTCCTCTGTTAAAGGCACTAACTCGTGCTGAGTTAGTTTTCGCCTACTCCCCTGCCTTTGGAAGAATTAATTCATATGGATAGAAATTGTTATTAAATAACTCACTTCCGTAAAACTGCCTTTTTAATCCAGTTACATACTACTATTTACCACTTTTTTTTTAGAATGACAATTCTTCTTCCTGTTGAGAAGCTGAAAGTGCTGCTACAGAATGTGAAAGACTTCCATATTAAGTTTCTTCAGAAATATGCTTGAAGTGTTTGTTCAAGTTGAACTTTATCAGCAGAGGAACAGAGAAATTGGATGTCTTCTTCCTTCTCATTTCTTCCATTTCTCCCCCCCCACCCACCCATCTATCCCAATGATCCAACCAGGTCAATTTCTAATGTGTATTAAAATAACTAAACTATTTGACTGGAAGGTCACTATCAATACTGCTAAATGTTACAGGTCAGTACCGTGAATGTAGTTATGTACTCTTTATATGATATTTTAAAGTGCCTTTAAGTTGCAATGAAATGGTTCTTGTTGGAAAGACTATTTTTAGTATCATTAAATATTTTTCGATTTTTGTACGCTACCAGTAAGGATATTTCCAGTTCTGAGTGTAACTCTTTCAAGAGTAATTTTCTCCAGATCAAGGTCTACAGTTTGATAATTTCACCAATTCCACAAAGCCAAAAAAATGTCCTGTAGTTTTGAGGATGGTGCTTTTTCTAAAGATGGTCTGTGGGAATCTAGTGATTAATTTTACCAGTGAAAAGCTTTACAATGCATTAATTCAGCAAAAACACTTAACCTACTTATAAATTACTTGTTAATTTCTGTATGTATTTATATGGACTTTTAGCAGGATAATTCTTAACACATCCTTGGGAATGATCTTTAATAGGCAGTCTTGTAGCCCTGCCACACGATTTTTACATTATTTCTAAATTCAGCAAAGGGAATTGCATTTCTCCCACTACAATGGAAATGTAATGTTTACAGTTTACTTTGTAAAATGTGGAAATCAAACTGTTATGCCTTGCTGATTGTAAGTGGATAACATTTTGAAATTTTACATATTTGTCAAAGGTCTTCTAACCAGACAATTTGGGAAAGAAGTGAAAAAATAAATATTGCCTTTGAACATTTAAGTGCTTCCTGTGCTTATTTAAACACTGCAGTCTTTTGAAGGTATTAGTACTATTAAATGTTGTCAGCTTATCCCAATATTTCACCGCAGCGAATCACACACCAAGCTTTATCTGGCACTGAGCAATCAAAATGGTTATACAGTAGTCATGATGCAGTATACATCATGTTCCGTATTCAGGAAGGTGTTCCTGGTTCCTCACAAAAAGGAAATGGGTCTGGATGAGGCCAAGACTACACAAGCTGCACTGTGGGAAGATCGTTTGTTTCTACTTTTCAGTGCATCAACACAGGAGAGTTTACCTTCAAATAAAACATTTTATTAAAAGCCAAAACATAAAAATTGCATTACAGTAATTTGTGCTGGAGCATACAATATACTTCCTACATAAAACAATTCCCCCACTATCAATTTGGCTTCCTATAAAAACAATCCCCACACCATCAATTTAGTTTCCAAATCAGCCTGGACAATGATTTGTTTGCTGAAACTATATTTAAATCATCCAATTGCTCAGTTGGTAAAAATCTTTGTACAATGTCGCACTGAGCAACACAGACCTAGATGCTGCCAGGTTGAATCATCATCTGGCCCTTCCTGGGCTTCTCAAAATGCATCACAGGATTTATGTAATGTAATGACTGTTTTGTAAGCAAATCCTGTCACAGACTGCGTTTTTCTACAAAGTAGTCATTGCACTTTACAGTATATCTGTAAAGTCCAAAAGAACATTGAAGAGCAGATGCATTGGATGAACCCCACAGTGGACTAAGAAATAGTCTGGTAAAATACACATCACCACGTGTGCAAAGAAGAAGATTCTTCCAACAAATTGAAGCGAACAAACCAGCCGAAGCAATTGTGAGTCACTGAAAGCGAACGACCGTCAAACCCGCTCGTCTGAGGTTTGTGACGTGTAACCTTTTATATTAATTTTTGGGGGTCCGTTTAAGAGTATCCAAACCCAAAGTGAGAATTCCATGCATCCCACTTCCCGAGACACGCTGTTGAAATGCAATGTGCACTCTCTCCCTGGAGGGATGTATCTTGCTTACCTAATACTTTCCGGACCCCAAAGTGTGCACCGGGGTAACTGCCGGAGTCTTAAATTTTGATGTAATCCCACTCCCAAATAACCCTTTCATGGATCTAATCTGTGTGTGTGTGTGTGTGTTTACTCACAAACACTGAAAACAAACTCCCAAAAGCTGAGCCGCTCTTCAGTTTTAATTGGGTGATGGACCAGTAAGAGAAGGAGGAGCATATAAAGTTACAGAGTGCTGGAGCAGCTATTTGCTCAGGGTTTCCAGTGAATATGCCTCCAATTACCAGGAGCCGCAAAAGGGATTCAGCCGAAGCTGCTTCAGCCCCGACTATCCTGTCCCAGGAGAAGTCAGAGAAAATTGAACTTTTTCTGGACTATTTCGACAAGGAAGGCGAGTTTCCCTGGGAGTTTCTTTAATATATATATATGTATTATATTACCTTTTTTGTTTTAATTATATAAAGCCCGTCTCATTGATTTGCAAGAGACATAGTTCTTACACAGTCGGTGGTCAAAGGGGCAGATGGTCATGATCACTGTTAATGAACAATTAGGGTTATTTATTATCTATTATATTTATGATTTATTATCTGGCTGGTGTGGGGGATAGCGTTCTAGGTTTAACCTGTGTGTTTTTCTATTTTAAAACAATTCTACTCGTTAGTGTCGATGCATTTGTAAAATAAATTATGACCCACTACCTGATAAGCTGCGCGTTATTTAAACTTTGGGACTCTGTGGCTCAGTGAGTAAATGCACTTACGATGTTGTCCTGGTATAACAAGCACAAACTATCTGATCTGCTCCAAACCGAGGTAACTGATCCCAGCTGGGTCGCGATTGGGATAATTTAATTGTCCACAATAACCCTTGAGAGTAACCCAGAGTTGCTACTCTTTCTTTGTTATCCAGTGACTTTGCTTTTGTGGGTGTTAGGTCAGCACAAGATCTGGCACATTGTAATGGCTTCCCAACAACTCCCTGTCCAGACCTACATGAATAATGTATAAGATTAAACTACCGCTGTTGATATCTGCAAACTGCACGTAGTAATAATAATGCAATAGGGGGTGTAACAGGAAGCATAAATTGAGGAGAAACCTATTCCCCCACCCACCCCACTGCCCGAAGGCAAGTTCTAGCTCTTGGGAAAGGTTCTCCACACGGAATCTAATTGCTATTTTACTCCTTTCCGCAGGTGAGGATTGCACAAGCCAAGAAAGGAATGGATTTCTTTTGCTTTTGGTAGTTTATGCACTGAATATTCCTTTTGCTTGCCCCTCCCTTGTCTTCTTCAAAGCTGTGCCTTTGGTCATCCTACCACCAGCCCCTCCACCCCCACCCACCCACCCCTTGCCCTCCACCCCCATTATTTCCAATCTCTAGCTCAAGTGCAAACTCTAGACTGTCCAGTACCTTGGGGCATCCTCCCAATGTGAAAGGTGGGATAGAGATACAATCAGCTGCTGTGTTCAGTCACTGCCATTGCACTATGTTCTACCACCAGATTGTGTGTTGTGTATTCAGATTGAATACTGAGCTTTCATTTTAGCCATTTGTTTTTTTCCAAATCATAATGATGAATCATCTTTCTTTTGCAGCAAATAGCAGAATATTGTCAATGGAACAGAAATTTGTAAAGATATTGGACATGGTTGATCGTGTCATGGCTGTCCACTTGTTGAAGATTCCAGTAGCAATTCAACGGATGAAGTTTAAGGATTTCCTTGGTAACTTTTTTACATTACATGGGTTAGATCTCAAAAGAAATGCAAAGTACAAACTTGTTATATGTAACTGTAAACTAACCCTCTGTAACTACAGGAGAAACTGACCAAGCCGCTGCCATTGCTGCTGCTGTAGTAAGTAACATCTTTTATTTTAAGTTTTTTTTCTCTTAGTTTAGGTCTGTATAAAGTAATTTTTTTGACTGGTATGCGCTTCAAACTTCTTGGACTCTCAGCACTTGACATTTCTATCAATTTTTAGCAAGTCACTTGTGTATTCTAAGTGATGAAATTTTTAACTACTGATGGTCCATCTCTGAACTTGCCCACTTCTGCTATTCAGTGATCCTGCTGGGAAAAATGCAAGCGTGTTGAGAATGGATCAGGTGATGTTCCTAAAGTAAAATACTATAATGTTCTCCAGGCCAGTGCATGAATGCTCATTTGGTAAAGGTATGTTAGATTTTTGGGAAATATAGAACTATTTCTCTCTTTTACCCCTCCACAATAAGTCACTATGTTTAGGAGAGGATACGAAAGGTAAGAAAATAGATGCACCGGGAGTTCAATATTCCAATTTTCCTTTACAAGGCTAACTACATTTACATCATTTAACACATCCATTTGCAGACTGACAACCCAGAAGAATACACAATCGCTACTCTTCCTCGTAAAACCACAAAGAAAAAAAGTGAGTCTATGAAATAAATATCAAAAATTTACATGGTTTGTATTGAATTTCATTTAATTACCTGCCTGATAATTGCCTTTTTTCATTTCAGTCAAACCATTAAAACCTTTATCAGTTTCTACTTCTGCATTATCCTCTGACCAATTGAAATTTAAAGCTAAGTCAAGTGCAGCAAAACATCGAACTCTTCAGAAGGTGAGTAACATATACCTGGTGTATTACGTGTGCTTGTGACCGAGATTTACAATTTTAAAATCTTGTTCAGAAATGGAATTAATCTGCCACTGGCTCAGTAGGTCAATGTAGAGTACCAAGGTGATATTTGTCCTACAGAGTAGGACTGAGGCTCCATCCCTAATCTGAAAGCAGCACAACAGGTTTCCTGGACTGGTAGGTGGGATTCTCTCCTTCTGTAACTTCCTGGAAAATGGAAAAGATTTGATTTTGATGACCTTTTATTTTCCCCCCTTCCCTTTAACTCAATTCTGATATTCCATTATCCCGATGCAGCCACAAAAGACTTATCTCTTTCCCTTTTTTTTGTTTTTGGAAACTGGTTGGATTGCTAGTTGAGGTACTATTTTGCTATGTCCAAATTTTGTTTCAGATACCCCAAAATAACACAAAGTCTGACTCCGCCTCAAAGAGAAAAGCCCTCTTCACCAGGTAATGGTTATCATTGAAGAATAAAATAAACAAGTTTAATTTGTTCGTAATAAATGGAACAACTCATTCTATTCAATTCCTTAAACTATTTTATTTATTGCATACACGCAGCACTCCAATATCAAATGTAAAGACTCCAGCAGTTCCTCGGAAAACTGCATCAGAGTTTGACAAAAGGTATTATTAAATCTTAATCTTCCTTTTGTTTTAATGGCTGGATGCTAGTAACTAAAACTGCAGTACCAGATGTGTAAATTATCCTATCAAAAGCTTTGGGATTGAGTCTATTTGACGTGCAGCTAGTCTTTTGAAATAAGATTTGGAAGGGTGAATTGCATGAGGTTTCCTGGATTGTTGGGCATTAAAAAACTGTCAATAAAAACAGAAGTCGCTGGGAACACTCAGCTGGTCAGGCAGCATCTATGGAGAAAGGAAATTGAGTCAATGTTTTGGGTCCATGACCCTTCATCAGAACAGGAAAGTGAGTCCCAAATTTCGCCCTGCCGAGAATTGAACCTAGGCCTCTCGCGTGTGAGGCAAGTGCTCCAACCAGTGACATGGGGCCTGAACCCACAGCTTTCTGACTCAAGAGAGCCAACAACTGAACCAGGCTAGCACTTAAATCTGTGCAAATGTTCTTTAGAACTGAAAAGAGGTTTGTGTCTGGTCCACTTAAAACTTCTGGTTGGGAGGGAGGTACCATTTGTCGCTGAATGCTGTCTTGGTGCATGTCATAACATTTATAGATTTCTAGTGCTCCAGTTAGACAGGCAATAAACTGGAATCAATTACACAAATCCATCTACTTATTTGTTTCTTGTGGCAAAGTGTCCAAACAGCAATTTTAATGATGAATTTAGTCTGTTATGGCAAAGCCTATTGTGGTGTTCATTGGAATGCTTGGAAACTGTTGGGGCATTAAGTTGACAGGAGCACACAAACAAGAGTAGTGGTGGTGGGGATAAAGAAAAGTTATTAAAAAGCTCTCAGGACTACAGCTCGGTATGATTTGTCATATAAGTGACTCAATAATTGTCTTCCATTTTTAGTAAATGCATTAAGATTTAACCTCTGTGTGTTTTAAATGACGGGCTGTTTTAAAGTAAAATGAATCTTCAGAATATGTACATTACTCTCTGTAATACTTTAGTAGCCATGCAAAATGGAGTATTTTTAATATTAGGTTACTCAAAATGCCAAAATCTGGAAGGAAAGCATTGACTTGTTCTCCAGTGCGTGTGGATAAATCACAACCATTCATTAACATACCTCTGGCAGATGGGAAGGTATGTAAATAGACAACCTTTATTTTCAAGAGATGCAACATTACTGTATCATTGTATACTTAATTGCAATTCAGCATGCACAAATGTTGCATAAACCAGCTTTATGCTTCGATTAGGATCCATACATTTCAGAAATTATTGTCTGCTTGGTTTTAGTCCTTTTAAACCTTCAGAAGAAATCAGTTTTTTTAATATGGGTTACTCCACATCTTCTGAAGGACAACCTAAGATTGCTGGTCCACAAATTGGAAGAAAAAACCTTGCATTTGATAATGCCTCTTTTCACACCAATATCTCAAAGTGCTTCAGTTTTCTATAAATTGTAGACTATTTGTTGGTGAATGCAGAAGCTGTCTGCAGTATACCTAAGTCTTGGCCATTTGCATGGGTATTGAAGGTCCCATAGCTCTATTCAAGAGGATAAGTTTCCCTTTGTCTTGGCCAACAATCCTCTGGATTAAAATTGATCATTCACTTTACGAATGTTTATGGTGCAATATGCAAACTAGCTGCTGCGTTCACCTATATATGTAGCAATTTACACTAAACAGGATTTATTGTAATATATATATAGTTATCCAATGTTCTTTTGCTCATTCAGTGCTTATGCACTTGTCTTATCTGCATATCTGTTTCTTTTGTTGCATGTTTCTGCTATTCACATTCTTTTGGAATGACTTGTTCCTTCTGTTTGTAGATAGTGGTTTCACATTCCTAACTTCTTAAAATGGACCTTCCAATCATTTCAATTCTGTTGATGGTCAAATTTGAAACATTAACTGATATCTCTTCCTAATATTCATTGCCTGTGAATAAGTACCCAGACCACCATTGTGTAATGTGACCCATCGGTTTTAACTTATTTTACAAGATACTAAAACTGTCCTCTCTAAAATCCTAATTGTTCACAATACAGTTTCTCTTAGATGATATTTTAATATTTGCACCTTAGGCAATTTATGCAGTTGGTGGGGAAGTGGACAATATAGATGTGGAGTCACTTGATCCAAATACCCTTACGTGTATTCAATCTTTGGTGGTAAGTTAGCATTTATTCCCTTTCCATTTGAATAGCTACTTTTTGAGCTAGTGGTGGGTTAGTTATGAAATTGTAGTCCAGCATAAGCTACTTTCAGTGGAGAGAAAGAATGCCTGTGATAACTTAGTACTACCATTTCTGTAAAATTCCCACCATTCTAAATTCAAGTGGATCTGCTTTAAGAAATGTTCCAAATATTTTCAGGGAATTTAATGAAACTGACATAACTTGAATTTAGAACCATGGATTCATTCTTCTGCACTTTGTATCTACAGATTCACCTAACAGCCCTGTGTGAAAAGGCCAATTATTCAGTACGTGCAAACAGCATCTGAAGAGTCTACACTGACTTGTTTTGTAACTAAATGTATTTAGGATTCATATTTTCAAAAATAAACTTTTTTTTAAAATTAAGCACAGTGCTGAGTCCCAGCTTAAATTTTAGCTAATCAAGTAAATTCCAGTAACATCTCTAATTCAAAATGATCTGTTTGGGAAAATCTTTATTTAATCAGTCAATATCATTATAACAGGTGCACACTTTTTAGATACAAGTGTGTAATTTAAACTGAGTTTAATTCAAAGTTAGCTTTGAAATATTAAATTCAAAGATGATAAATTGAATTGTGTAAATTAATTGCATCTGCAATTTCTCCTCCCTACCCCCCACAATTGGAGCTTCATATATTACTCATTCAGACTATACATGATCCTTCACTAAATACCTTTCAACAGAACAAATTACCTCCAAGGCTGATTTTCACCTGTATAAATGCTCAACTGCAACCAGGTTTTAGAAGACTTACCTTAAATGCATTTTGCTATTGTTGGTTTGAAAAACTGATGGATCCAGTTTGCAGGGTGGAGGGTTGATACAGGGATCTCTGCTTGCAACTGATGGGTTAGTGCACAATAATCTCACTCATAGCCCCAGCAAACAGTATAAGCCTTTACAGTATTCACTAGGTCAATCCAGCTACATTTAACAAAAATCAGTACATCTGATAGATACAATTGACCATTTTTCAAAAACCTTTAATTGCTGAACGCAAACATTAACATACCACTGGATTTTGGACTTCAGAAATAAGGCTAGTTACAGTTTGAATACTAAAACAAATTTGCTTAACGATTGTTACAATATGGATGGTTCACAGGTTTTTTTTTGCCAGAGGTTAAGGCATTCAGGAAAATAAACCTGTCCAAGCCTGGGTGAACCAAATTTGAGTCCGCTCAAAGCACGTTGAGTGCAAATAGTTGCAATGTATTTGAATTTTATTACTTAGAACCTTCAAGATTCAAGAAATATCAGAACCATGTTATCCAGTCTTGCTTTTTTAAAAAAAAGCTATTTAGAATGCAGCTCCAATGGGAACAACATGCAGCTGTTGGGAGATACAAGCATTACTAGATTTCTACTTATATTAGCAGTCCATGTGACTTCAGCCCAAACATTAATTGTACACAAATAAAGGCTTTACAATGTCAGGATTTTTTTTAAAAAGGTGACAGGGAGGAAAAAGATGATCTACAGCAACTTTTTTTTTTAAAAAAGCAGAGATACAAGGACAGATAAAACCTGTGATACCAGATTAATTCTCACTAGCTATTCCCCTGCATAGGTGTCAAAGAACTGAGCACCACAATCTGTGCCATGGTTAGTTTACTTTAAATTATACACTCTGTAAATACTATAACCAATTAAGTTACATATACAGCAGAGATGTCCATCAGAGTTTCTCTGGATTGGTTTGTCACAAAAGTCCAGTTTGCCTCCTAACAAAACCAGGTGATACCCAAACTGAACAGAACATGGTTTGCAAGTGTTTCAGCGAGGTTTACTGATGGGCACATTGTACACCAGGCCCACTCTGGTGGCCACCTTCGTCATCAGAGCTATCATTGTAAGCTTCTCGTCGTTGCCCTCCTGGAGTGCCACGAGTGCTGTCAAAATCCTGCAAGTCAACTTCTTCAGTTTCACCAATTACCTCAGGAACCTCTGGCCTGGCTGGAAGTAGGTCTTCAAGTTGCTTCAGACAATATAAAGAAAGAATTGATTTTGTGCAAGGACTTCTGGTTAAATAAAAATCACAAGTAGCAAATATTTACAGGTCATATGTTTTACATGGAACTATACAGGGGTTGAAAAAGAAACTAGATTTGCTCCTAGAAAATAATTAGGATTATCATTGGCTCATCTGGGGAATTGATTTTATAGTACAAGATGACACTACAGTGCAATACTGGGGGGAAGGGGCACTGCCTTGTTAGAAGTGTTGCCTTTCAAATAAGATATTGAATCAATCTGCCCATATAGGTGACTAAGTATCACACAACACTTTCAAAAGTAAAGTGTATCTATTCCCAATGTGCCAATGAACAAAACTATAGCTATATTATTTGTTCACATCATGGTTGTTTGTCTAAAATGGTTGCTACCTTGGGCACTGTGATGATAGATCATAAAATAAATATTTTGGGAAATTGGATGGGCCAGAGAGATCAATAGAATACTCCTGCCTGAAATTATACTTTTTGAAAACATTTTTGGCCATATTTAAACATGGTTTAAAAACAGAATATTTAATACTATATCACCTTTCACATCAGATTAATGTTCAATGACTTCACAAAAATGGAATTTAGAAAAAGTGAGTGTTATATAGGCAAATCAGACTGCTTATTTGTGCGACGAAGTCCGCGAGGGGAAAAAAGCCAAAATCTCCACATCCAGAGAAGTCTTATTTCTACGACTATCTGACTGATATGAAGCATTGAATGTGTCACAAAATAAAGATTGCAGCTTTTTACTTACAGCTATTTTTTCAGGGCTAATCCAATTGTTCGAAGGGAACTGAACATCAAACTTGATGTACAGGTCACCCTTTTCAAATGGATTACGATACTGTGGCATTCCTTCGCCTTTAATGACACGCACACTCCCTATTGAAATGAATACAATCATCAGCATAGCCATTTCTAATTGAATATAACACTAGCTACAGAGAAACACAATTAGTATGATTTTATAGGAAAACAAGATTTGAGGCCTGTAACCATTGCATAGGTGAAAGTTTCTGCAGGAGTTTGCTCTATTTAGAGATCATTTTGTTAGAAAACATTTTTGGTGACAATCATTGATGTGAGAACATCAGAACTCAAATTTATTTCATAAATACCACTTAACTGCTAGGAAACAACTGATGTTTTATACAATTACATAAATTTGTCCTGATCGAGTAAATCTGCAATAAAAAAAATCATAACTATTCAATCACTCCTTACCTGGTTCAATAACTTTTCCTGGTGGATACTTCACAACAATCTGCCGTGCATCCAAATGTTTGAATGTGAATTGAAAGCCACAGAGTGCCTCGACAAGGCCAATCTTGTGAGTCATGTGCAAATCATTTCCCTCTCTTTGGAACCCCTGAGAACACAAACTTAATTTATATATTTTTTTACATACAATGTTTTGTTACACACTTCAAAAATTACATTTACATTCCTCATGGGTTTAAGAATGGAGCATTTTTCACTCTAATTCAAGTACCTCATTTTCCTTCTCTTGTAGTATAAGGATTATATCACCAGGTTCTACACCAGGAGACTGATCAGCTTCTCCACTGAAGGTAATGCGCTGTCCATGCTTCATGCCTTTATCTATGTGAACTTCTAGGATCTTTACTTCCTTTATCACCTTCTTCCCCTCACATTTTTTACAACGATCCTTCTCATTAATAACTTCACCTGAAACATTCAAAAAATAAATTTCAAGCAATGATTCAGAGGTCAATGTTCAGTACTGTATTGGTATTCAAATGATCAAATTTAGAACGCAGGAAACTGAAGGAGTCCTGCAAAGGGAAATTGTTCTCCCAGGCTTCCTCAATCCAAGCTGAGGAGGTTGTACTCAAGTGCAAAATGTTATTCTGTTTTCACGTGGTCTCTAGACTACAGCACATGGATTCACTCCCATAGTTAATACCTATCAAGTTCCATACAGAATTCTTTTCAGGAAACAAATGTAATGGAAAATGTAATCAGTTAGCCATGTTAATGTGATTACGCTAAAGGTTTACTCACCTTCGCCATTACAATCAGAACAGACAGACTGCATCTGCTGAACCATTCCTGGTGCCAATTGTCTAATCATAATCCTTACACCTCGTCCTCTGCAAGCGCTGCACTTCTGAACGGCTCCTGCCTTGCCACCCTGACTATTTATAAAACAACAATACTGTGTTAAGATTATTTTAAAAACATATTTGGGGATCTGGTATTTGACAGAAGGTATTCCATTAAGTATTACTGTGCAGAAAATCTTTCAAAATTTACAACCGACCCCCATCCATAAAATATTTTCTTAGTCCGCATCTAGGTTACATATGAATTAAGCTTGTAGGTACATTTACCCAAGATCTACAGCAACTAAAGTCACAGCAATTAAAATAAGCAATCTTGCATAGAACGCATGCAATAATTAATGATTAGAGAGAAGCCAATATAATGAAAGAAATGACTAATTGCCCTTAAACAAAATTAAGTTTATAAATTAGTCACTTTACACGTTTCTACTCATTTTTATAAGTATTCAGCTCCTCATGCCACTAGAAAAGATATTACAATTGAATGGTCTGTTAGTTATTTTTATATAAAAAAACTCACTATGATTCACCCTTCTCTGATTTTTATCTATGTCCTGTTGCTGAAATGATCCCAAAGGACAAAATCAACCAGACTGTTGACATTCACTGAGAATGGCTACTTGCAAGAAAAGTACTGGAGAGCTGCCAATGTGCTTGGAATTACACCCCAACACAAGTTACTCACTTCAAAAGAAGGGAATGGGAAATACCCATTCCTTTAAAAATCATTAAGATGTTGTGCCTCGTCCTCAATGCCAATATTGCAAATTCAGGCTATTCACGGAATCAAAGTTTTTAAAAAGTTCAGAAACTAAGGTATATAGATTTCTCATCCAGGTTAAATGTCCATTTAAGATTATCCTGATAAAATTCATCTTTAAAGCTACTAAAATGTTTCCATCATTAATCAGTACAGCACTGTAGGTTACAATATTGCAACAAAAACACTTCATGCAGAAACACAATAAATGTAAATGGTTGGAATGATGCAATTAATTCTTTCAGTTAGCCAAATGAACTTACCCGTTACACAAACTGCACAAAACATTTTTGCTGAGCTGTAGCTTGGTTGTCTTTCCATTATAGAGGTCTTCTAAAGATACTCTATTAAATGTAGAAAAATAAAACTCATTAAGAAAAATTGGTCAAAAGTCAAAAGGAGCAAATTTACATATTTACAGTTGAAAAAAGACTTACTTTAGGGGATGCATCATGTCTTCTCCTCTTCGCCTACTGTTGCGGTTTCTACTATGACCACCCATGAACCCAAAAAGTCCCCCACCAAAAATGTGAGAGAAGATGTCATCCATTCCTGCTCCACTGCCACCACCCTCTCGCAATCCTTGTTCGCCATAACGATCATAAAGTTCCCGTTTCTCTGGATTCGTTAACACTTCATATGCAAAGCTTATTTCTTTAAACTGCAAATGGAAAAAAAGTCGTAAGCATTCTCCAATATCAACACTCTTACTAATAGCCATTTTATATGGAGGATTGGGAGAAACTGCCTTGTATTTTCAAAGAAAAGCAGTTATCTATACTAAAATGTCTGTCTACTAAGAACGCAATATCCGATTTGACATAGAGACATGATTTATACCTCATCGGAAAAGTCTTGCATGGGGGAGCGTCATGGGCACATTTTGGTTTTGGGGGGGGATCTCCTAAAGTTGATGAGCTATACTAAAAATGCTTTAATTAAGCCCCAAAAAAGATATGCATGGTATTTTACAACAAAGTAGCGACAGAGGTCATACATTCTTCTAGAGACATCTTATATATTACTAATAAAGACAAAATGTCTGTCTGTGTGTCAGGAGTCCTCCCAAAAGGATGTGTGTGCAAATACGTGAACAAGGGACGGTAACAAGTTCAATAGCATAACTATATATATACACACACACAAATATAAATGAATAAAATTATGCTATTGAACTTATAAAGCGTACTAGAATCTTTAACGTCTACCTGAACAGGCAGATGGGATACCATTTTAGCGTCTCATCTGATGCCTGATACCTCCAACAATGCAGTGTAGTCCCAGCAATGATTTGGAGTATCAGCATGGATTGTGATCTCAAAGTCAGTCATTGGGCTTGAAGGCATAAACTTCTGATTCAGAGGTGTGAATGCTAAGACGAGAACCAGGCTGCAGATCATTTGGTAATGCCACTGTAAAGCCGAGAACTCTGCAGACAGCAGGAACTTCATCAATGCTTTTGATTTCAGTAAGCACTCTTTGGAGGTGAAAAGGAGGTGTGTAAAACATCTGCTACAATTCTTATTTTCTACACGTTTTCACTTTTCAGCAGGAAAAATCAAGTGAGCACAGTATCACTCAAGCTCAGTTGTGATGCCTTAAGCTGCCAAAGTGAAAAGTTACTTGGGCTAGGTCTTATGGTGTCTCAAACATACAAGTAACTGTATCCTAGTGTCAATCGATACTCAGAATCAAGAGTAAAAATTGGAACAGATGTGGTAAATAAAAAATTGCACCTTCATCCTCAGAACCCTGAAACTCTGGGTGAAATCCATTAATTTAGGATGAGTTAACTAGTACCACAAAGGCCGGAGCATCAGATAGAGCTTCAGCAACAGCAAACCTCCCAACTAATCCATTACAGGTTGAAATGGGTTTTACAGTTTCGTAAACACTATGAAGGAAAACAAAACAGCTGCAATGAGGAACTGCTGCTGAGAAACAGTTCTGACATTTAGTCCAAAATCTCAAATCCAAGAGATCAGCTTCCCATTTTTGGTTGATCCCAGGAAAATTAAAGCTATGTCACCAGTAGCTTTTAAATATATACTTTAGTGAATCACATAAGCTTTAACAGCACAAAAAGTGTGCACAAAGTAAGTCAGCTGCTGGTGACAAAAGCAAAAAAAAAATCAAAGGTCTAGTTCAAAAGTGGCAGAAGACCACTTGGCTAAACTGACAGTGCACATTTCCACCGTCCAGCCGATGTGGACATGACCCCCAAAACACAGATGTGGCAAAAACAGTAAAACAGTCCATGTAAGACCTGATGGCAAAGTACAGGGAAATGGCAGACAAATGCTCTTTCAAAGAACCAGTAACAGCCACAATGAGCAGAATATCCTTCCGCCCATTACATTTCAAAGGTTTAACACAATATCTTCCCAGTTGTTAAAGAAGCTTTTCTCCTTGATCTGATACCCATTGTAATATCAGCCTGTTCAGAGAAGGCAGTGCGTTGAAGACTACAGGCAAGATCGTATCAAGGCAGCCAAGGGATGCTGACGTACTAGAATATCCTACATGTACTCAAAACCAGGTTTAGATTTAGAAACAGATAGTGTAGAAGCATTCAAGAGTAACTAATGCTAGACTTTCACATGGGGGAAAAAGGAAATAGAAAGGTATGGAAGGGAGCAAGGAATGGGCGAAGACCCGCATGGAATATAATCACCGCCACGGAACGACCGGTTGGGCCAAGTTGCCTGTTTCCGTGCTGTACATTCTTTGTAACTTTGTAACTCTTTGTATGGAGAAATAAACTGGTAAACATTTTTCTGCATTTTTTTTACCCTGCCTGCTAACTAAATCCAGCAAACCCATATAGATTCAAGTTACTTAAGAAGCATTTCAAAAATGTGAAAATTTCAAAATCAACAACAACCTGCATTTATACGTAGGGTAAGATCTCAGTTTTGAAATCATGAAAACATCTTCCCCAATGACTGGGACAATATGCATATACTCTCAAGCAGGGGAAAATGAGAATACTACTTCAAGTATTTTAAGAATGAAGGTGGCTCAAAAGTCTCACTTAAACAACTTTCTACTCTCCTAAAATAAGTTGAAACAATAGAAAGCAGTTCAAACAAAGATCACTTGTTTTAAAAGGAGCTGGCCTCACGAAGGTGGGTGGGGGAAGAGCAGGAATAGCATTAGGAATAGAGAATAGCAATTTTACCGAAATCTTAAAAACATTAAGTGGAACAGGACTATGGTAATTTAAAGAAAGAGCGTATAGTAATCTTAGTTAGATCCAATTCAACAACTTTCAGTCCGGTTAGGTCCTGAAAGTGGAACAATTGTAGAACGACCATCAGGAATCAATCGATTATTCTACTGACCAATAATGAGTGTATTAAAACTGGATGTAAAATATTAGAAAACAAAAGTTGAAAATTACCTTGTCTCCAGCATTCGGGTTTTTATCTGGATGATATTCTTTAGCTAACTTGCGATATGCCTGAAGTTTAAAAAAAACAAGAGGTTACAATGCCAGACAGTAAAGAATTCTATTAGAACCTCAGAAATTTTGATTCATTTAATTATTTTCACCACAATGGAACAGAACAAATAAATATTTGTTAAAACAACTGTGTGTGTGAGGGGGGGGGGAAGAGAAAAAGAGCTAAAGATCACACTAAAGTAGATAACACGTTCAACGCAACTAAGCAGCTGAATACTTCCAGTTCCTTGTCCATGGGAACCAGTTCTCTCTCCCCCCACCCCCCCTCCTTATTTTCTTCCTGTCAGAAAAGGGACTGATAACCACAATTTTAAATTCTCACAGGATGGATAGCCATTTGCCTAGCATTCTGCTAAACAGCCTTTGGGACATACACATACGTATGTATATATATGTATATATATATAAATACACATATATACACATAAAATGGTGCCCTCAATCCCTACAGAAATTTAAAACTTTTTTGAAAATCACCCTCATCGGGCACCAGACTGTACTTGGATGCTACGTGCACATGTACAGCTGCACCTTCGTATCATCTGAACACCCGCACCCTCAACAACCTGGAACAAATCGATCCGTGTGCACTGTGCCCTGGCCTGGATGAAAAAAAATATTCTGTGCCCACCATCGACACGATGGTAAGAACATGCAACATCCCTGAACAGGGATACATCGCCAGCGTCCCTTATTCACTACATGATTGGCTAACTACAGTCCAATGGCAGATGTGATTTGTTGAATCATGGCACATCATGGCTGCCATAAAGCCAGACCTGCCTTCAACTGAGAATCAAGTGACAATTCAGTCTGTCCTCCCATCGAGACAAAACCACGCGTATCGTCCTAGAAAGGTGGTGAACCCTTCCTTCCTTCCTTCCTTCGTTCGTTACACGAACGGCTGCGTGACACAAGTGGAGCACATTGCTTCCGTTTGCACCTTTCTGCGCATCGGCGGATTTCTCGGGGCACAGAGTTTAATCCGAACTCATCTCGGTTTGGATCTGCGTTGTGTAACCGGCAAAAAAAAAACACACACACACACACACACGCAGCAGAGCGCTGATTCTACAGCGCTTGGTCCCAATATACAGATGTAGCATTTCCGAAATGCTCTGAATCTGCGCTCCCCCCCACCCACACCCACACCCCCACCCACCCCCCACACACACACCCACACACACACGGCAACATTAAAACCAACCTTCCCCCGGAAGTTTCTCGATAAACCTACGAGAAGCACCAGGATCGGGTCCCGGCGGCTGGGGACAAAATGGTGCCGCGGTGTCAGATTAACAAGAGGGAGGGAGGGAGGGAGGGGGTGTTCCGGGCGGCCTTCAACATCTCGCTGGGGAGGGGGGGGAAGGTTGCGGGGGGTCTGGGAGAGACATGGAAGAGGGGCGACAGGAAGGGAGCCGACGTTGAGCGGCCCTGACGGATGGGAGAGAGACACCGGCAGCAGAGTGGGGGGGTTGGGGGGGGGGGAGGGAGGCCATGCGCTGAGCGCTCGCTCACTCACTGCACGAGCCGGCGACCTTTACCGTTTAATCTCTTCCCCTTCTCTCTCTCTCTCCCCCCCCCCCACCAACCCCACTCCCCTCTCATCCAACTGCCTCCCGCGGACCGCCACCACCACCACCACCGGCCTCGTCAAAACGCACTTAACACAAAAAATATTTTTAAAAAAATATTTTATAACCCCCACAAAAAAAACACAGACACACACGGCATATAATAACCACCACTCCCCCCCCCTCCCTCCCTCCCACTCCTCCTTCCCTAAACCGCAGGGGAAGAGGGTGAGCCGAGCTGACCGCTCGGAAGCCCGACATCACCGGGTCGCGTCACCAGGTAAAGGCCGGGCTGCGGCAGCGGCCTAAAGCCGGTTAGGCCTCGACTCGCGGGAGGAAGAGGAGGAGGAGGAGGAGGAAGGGGTTTTATTCAAAAAAAAAGGGGAGACAAATGGAAGCCACGAAGGAAGGAGAGAAGTAAGAGACGCCGAGGCCGCTCTCACTTGGCTTCACACCACCGCCACCCCTTCCCCTCTCCCCTCTCCCCCTCCCCTCCTCTCCCGGGGCATCCACTGACCTTCTTCAGCTCGTTCTCGGTGGCTCCCGGCGCCACCCCGAGGATATCGTACAGCTTTGTGTCGGGCACGGACGCCATCGTGACCAAGTGAGGCAAAGGGGGGGAAAAAAAAACGGGAGGGGGGGGGTCTCGAGCGGGGACGGCGGGCGGGCGGGTGGGCGGGCTCCGGAAGTGACGTCGATGCGCTAGCCCCGCCCCCGCCCGCGCGCGTCGTGCCACCTGACCTGCCGTGACGTCACGGTCCCCAGATGATTGATTGACAGCTGTCTCAGCCCAGAGGGACACAACTCACAGTGAACCATCCTTGCATCGGAGACTTGGGGTCAGGGAACCCTCGTCGCGTCCTTCGAGATGCTTTTTTTTTTTGAAACCCATAGTGTTGTTCGACTCCACGGTCGGGGGAAGCGGGACTGATTTTCGAAGAGCCGGCACAGGCTCTTCTAAATGGCCTCCTTCCGTGCTGACCGGTTTCCGTGGTTCCGTATGGGTGCGCAGCAGAAATAAACGATTGCGTTCGGCCTGACGCTACTTCTGATGACGCAATTCCCCGCCCAGCATTTGAATTTAGCTTGCTGCAAGGCCACGTGAGATACTGCGCGTATGTTTTTGCCCCCGGCTTGATCCACAGTTTAATTTGCGTTTCCTGATGCTAAACTGAAGTAGGAGCAAGACCACACGGTGCAGTGCAATAATAATAAATTGCTGGAAATCAGAACTGAAAGCAGAAGATGCTTGCAACCCATCAGTAGGGCTATCAGCATCTAAACCTGCTCCACCAGCTCCTGTAAGGCTCATTAGAAGAATACTTCAAGGGATGGTACTGAGACATATAGACCAGTAAGGTTCCAAGACAGATGAATCACTTTGTCTGTGCTGAATCAGCTGTTCTAATTTTGAGTTTGGAACGTGGTTGGGGCACCAATGATGATAATCTTGTAATCCTTGCATTTTACATCAGGAGGACATCTAAAATTGCTCAATAGGAAATACTGTAGGTGTGGTGACGGTATTTGCATGCAGGCCATTTGGCACAGCATTGTCCCACAAACAGCAATTTAGTGAATCACCAATTTTATTCTAGGAACTTGTTGGCCAAGATATCAGGAGACACTCCCTCCTCTTTTTGAAATGTGTCACAGAATCTTTAACAGCCCTCCGATCAGGCAGATAGGAACTAGGTTTAGTGTCTCTTCGGAAGGACTGTATCTACATCAATTTTACACCGACCTAGCACCTTGCTGGCGTGTCAATCTAGATGATGAAAAGGCCTGACATGGTCCCTAGAGTTATGGTTGAATACTTTGCTGTCAATTCATTCATTGTCTGGGCACAATTGGAGATTACTTATATTATTCATTTAAGAATGGCCTGGTGACTATGGAACCAGATTCTAACTGACATGAGTCAGTGAACTTCAATAGAGCACAGGAGATATTGGAAGAGAACAAAACAACAATCGCGAAAAATTAATTGAAACAGTAACAGAACTTGGGAGAAGCAAGTGGAGAGAATTGAGAATCGGTTTAATTTCGTGAAGCTGCGAATTCATCTATGTGAGACAAATCATTTTTTGCACCAGCAGAAACTTATTTTGTGAAAATTGAAGGAGAAAATCATAAAAAATTCAGTCAATTTAACTGTATTTTTCAATTAAATTTGTTAATTCCTAGCATCAGATACAATTCAAGTGGCATTCTCTTTCCTGTCAGTATGTTTGAACAGAGTTCCAGGGTATGCATTTAACATTGGTAAACATGTTAAATAATAATGTTTGAAGTTGGGTCAAGAGGTTGATAATATATGTACAGGGCTTACCACAGCAATACTGTATGTGTGGTGAAGCAGGTTAATTTGGTTAATTTTCATAGAATCATGGAATATTACAGCACAGAAGGAGGCCATCCGGCCCACGGTGCCAGCTCTTTGGAAGAGCTACCCAACCAGTCCCACTGCCCTGCTCTTTCCCCATAGCCTTGCAAATTTACTCTATCTACTCTGCATCCTATGTCCTAGAAAGTAACTACTCAACTCAATTTATTGAACAAAGCAATCTGTAGATGCTTTAAAGGGAATATCAGTAATGTAGCAATGCGTGTGTGATGCAGTTCCTTCATAATAGACCAGGAAGAATCCATGATTGAGGGCATTTCCTGAGGTCATTCCTGCTTGTGACTAAGTAATCCACACCCAGTAGGTGGCACCAGAGTGCTATTGCCTTGTTTCAATATCTGCATACTGCCACTGCACCACACTGTGACCAACCAGAAAATAGACTTGTTATTTTCATTTGGGCATAAGTCAGATACAATCAGTTTTAAGCTCTGTGCATCCATAGCGTACAACTCTACCTCATCAATAGGTCCACTGTCTGCAGCATTCATTCAAGCTCACAGGCCATTCTGATATTCTATGCATGCAGAGTCCTCAACGGTTACTGCTGAAGCTTTACACCTCCAGGTATTTATCTAGTGAGTGCCCAAACCCACACTAGTCAGTTGTCAGGTAACCAGCTTGTGGCTATCCTCCTTGGGGATCAGATGAGTGGGGCTCTCTGGTTGTGAGATGATTTCACCTGGAGAAGGGAGTTAACGCTCTGTCATTGAATTGGAGATCCATCACCTGAGCTTGGCAGGAGTGCAATACTCTAGTGCACTGATTATGATGATTAACATGTTTGGGTCAATATTGGGACTTGGAGTCAGTGCCACTGGGGACAGGATTCTTCCCACAGGGCAAAAGATAACCCTTTAAACTAACAATCCAACAGATACAGTGGACCTGCCCTTCACCCTCCCCAATCCCTACTCCCAGCTCAGGTCCGAAACACTGACTGTCCAGCGCTTTGGGATGTCCTCCCGACATGAAAGACGCTATACACATGTAATTTTGCTGTGGTTGTTCTGCAAACCATACAATAATCTTCCTAAAAAATGTTTTATACCCATAAGTATGTAAGCGCTCCGGGCCGCTACCCAGCAAGAAGGGAGCTAGATAAATACAAGTTGTCAATCGAAACTGATTGACATTATTTTTATTTAATATGTATGTAGAGTTTTTGATGCACATGTAGGTATGCAGTATGCCTACACATGCAACATTTCTGTCAAGCTGACTGACTACATAACTGCAGAACAAGGTTTTGTAGCACTTTCAGAAGGCATTTAATGAAATAAATGCATTTTACTTTGAGGCAACTGATTTTAATTATAGACAGCGCTCCATGTTTCCTCCTTTAAATTATGCTCTGAAGATGGGGGAAATAGAAACAGAAATAGATAATGAAAATGAAAAAAATGTGCAGCCAAAAGAGGAGGAAATGATTGCCCTATTTGAAGTTAAATTCAAGGGAACTTTCTCCCTGGCATGATGTGAGATACCAGGACACTAGAACAATTGTGCACAAGAGCCCTATTAATAATAATAATAATAATAATAATCCTTGCATTTGATATAGCGCTTTTCACGTCGGGAGGACGTCCCAAAGCGCTTCACAGAACACACTGTAAAGTGAATTGACTGTATATTTGTGGGCGAACGCGGCAGCCAATTGCGCACAGCAATGTCCCACAAACAGTCGTAGATTGAAAATGACCAATTTAATTATTGTTTTTAGTTTTGGAGGGATTATTAGGCGTGTGGAGTAAGGAAACTTGCCCAAGGTTTCGTCCTGCCTGGAATTGAACTCAGGTCTCTCACTTGCAAAGCGAGTGCTCTAACCACTGAGCTACAGGACTCCACGGAATTAGGGGATTACAATTTTTATGGTTTTGTAGAATCTGTAAAAAACAACTTGATGTATGGTGCACCACTGCTCAGATAGATACAGATTATAGCACTTAGTCACAGTATAACCACATATAACATAAATCTATTCTGTTTTACATTGGCAGATGCATTTGTTTGGGCAGAGAAATCTTAGCCTACGCTGTTTTGCTGGATCTGCTGAAAGATCCTGGTTAATCATGTAATAAATCGGTTTATTCCAACCTCTCAGTTAGCATCATTAATTAGCAATCTGTCTGATGGCTGATAGGTAATGAGGTTGGAGAATCCTGTCCCTAAATCACAACCTACCATAGTTGGAACTCCCCTGGGTCTATACTTTAGCAGATAATCTTTCCATTCTGTATCAATTATCTTCCTACATTTCGTCAACTTTCTGAGAACTCAATGCATGAAGATAAAACTATTCTAAGTGATTTTTCAGAATCTCTTGAGCAAATTATTTATCGTCAAAGGGTATGATTTGTACTAAAATATGCTGTCAGTCATTTACAATTAATTGCTAAGAAAATTTATGTTTGTGGTTTATATTTGTCAAGGGGGGGGGGGGTGTGATTTCAGAATTTGTTGATAAAAGTAGTAAGATGATACCTGAAAGCGTGACACACACCCATGTGAATATCCTTTCTGTAGTCCAGTAGCACTCAGGCCAGTCGTTCTGTACTCCTAAAATCAGCAATGTTAAGAATCAAGCCTGTAAACTCTAGTACATCACTCAGATATGTTGAGCTGCTTATGGTCCCAATTTTATAAATAACACATATGAAAATCTAACTTTTCACATTTCGTCTAAGAATATGAATTAAAAAAAATGCACAAAATCGCTGCACAATTCTCAGATGTGTGAGGATCGCACTAAGATCAGGAAAGATGGGATTTCTGGTTCCCTTGATGGTACAGTTGGTAGAACCAATGCCTGGAGTGAAACATTCCAATGGATTCAGTAGATCATGGCTTCCATCCCTGGTCTGGGCTGGTTCATCTTAGCTGGTCTAATGTAGGGGAGCTATAGTAATTTCACTCACCTGGGCTAGGCGGACAAAATAACTGAGAATCACAATCCAGTGATACCTATTGGAATGGAAATGTGTGTGGACATCAAGCTTGGTTTGGATAAAATAGTCTGACAATAAACATTGCTTCAACTTATGTGAAGAACGGCTGCTTGGGTGAGATACTGTAGGGCTGGTAATGCCTGCTTGACCACATGCCAGCAACATCAAGAGATAAACGATGAGTTCCTTAATGGTTACATCCCTGCTCAATTTACTTAGGAACTATCAGTTTCAAACAGACATCAAAGCGCGGCATTAATACAATATAAGATC